TGCAACACATGAGTGTCTGCTCGGGTCTTGTACTTTGCACCTAAAGGGTTTTACATGCCACGTTTGGGAGTTTAAATTCCTGTCATTGTAAGATTGTTATATTACCCCTAAAATATCCCATAGTTTAAAATTTCCGAAATGTATTGAAAAAGCTTAAATGTGGATGCTCTCGGTAGAAATATACCCCGAGATACATTGTATGTAAAGTGCTTTCTCTTTTTCCCCAGATGAAAGAAACAATTATGAATCAAGAAAAACTTGCTAAGCTGCAGGCGCAGGTCCGCATCGGCGGAAAGGTAAGTGACCAAATCAGCCCCGGGTCACTGACCTTGTTTTCTGCAGCACGCCCTGTCGTCTCTGGGGTTTCTTCATGCTTTCTAAAGATCTGCTCATGCAGCACTGCTAGAAATGCCTTAAGCTCTGAACACCGGTTTTCCTTTCGAGACAAGTTTCCAAAACCACCACAGTTTGAGCAATATCACCGTGGTTCATTGACAAAAAAGACACGTCACGATGGAATCGGGGGGGATGCTTGACTAGATGGAGAAACAGGAGGTTGACACCGATGTTTGCGTTGGACGTCCCCACAGGGTAGCGCTCGCAGGAAGAAGAAGGTTGTACACAGAACGGCGACCGCAGACGACAAGAAGCTGCAGTTCTCCTTAAAGAAGCTCGGTGTCAACAACATCTCTGGAATCGAGGAGGTGGGCGTGAACTTTGCCCTCTTACAGCACTGCTTTTTCTGCTGCTCTGCTGTTTTTGTAAAACCTTGTTCTCTTCCAGGTTAACATGTTTACAAATCAGGGAACAGTCATCCACTTCAACAACCCCAAAGTGCAGGCCTCCCTCGCAGCCAACACCTTCACCATCACCGGCCACGCTGAGACCAAGCAGCTGACGGAGATGCTGCCCGGGATCCTGAACCAGCTGGGAGCCGACAGCCTGACGAGCCTCAGGAGACTCGCCGAGGCTCTGCCCAAACAGGGTCAGTGACCTCATCGCACCGCAGCCTGTTGAATAAAGTCGTGCTTTAGCTTCGGGATCTACGGTGTGTTGTTTTTACCGCTTTAATCTGCTCTACAAGCTTCTCACTGGTCACGTTGTGTTCGCGCAGCACTAGATGGAAAAGCGCCGATTGCAACGGTAGAAGAAGAAGACGAGGACGACGACGTTCCAGGTGAGTTTGTGTTGCATCCTCAATTACCTCCTCCCCCATTCAATGTTAAAGATTGCCCCTGTGGAGTCGTAGTGTCCACGTAGCTTTTACTTAGCATGCTATGGAGCGCTACATTGGGATAGCACGTCTCTAAGCTCTGTTGTATGATCGACTTGAGTTGTGTGGTGGATCTGCTCACACTAACTTGTGTTACGGGGGGATTGGGAGCAGCGGTACTATAAAAAGAGAACATTGCTACGTGGACAGATGCCCTTATTTGGTAATGCTTCTTCACAATGGTCCACTATGGGACAATGCCCCCCCCCCCCCCCCTCTTCCCTCCTCGTTTCCCAGTTAAATAATCATGGGAGGTTTGTTTTCTTGGGGCCCGTGAAAGGGTTCACGCAGAGGGGATCCATCTATGACTTTAGAGTGATGGTTCAACGCTGGGTTTTGTATTTAAATCTCATGTTCATTGTTTATGAGATCTTAAGATCCAGTTTGCTTTTCTTTGTGAGGAAAATAGGCCCGAGACATGAGGTTGCCATTACAACAACCCCATCTTTTCCCAGGACGTCTCTGCCTGTAGCTCCAGTCCTCCCTAATACAACAAACGGTCACACATGTACTCGGCGATGGCTCAGGGGTTAACAGCCATCGCCGTTGTGTTGTTATTGGAGTTAAGTTTCCTTTGTTCTCCCACCGAAGGAACATGTTCTCTCAGACCTTGTTGAATTGTTTCCATCTTAACCCCTCGACCCTCTAAGCACCCGAACTTTTGAAAGGCAGATTTCTTACGTTTCGCGGAGTAATTGAAGGCAACCGTTTGATGTTTCGACCCCGTCATTTTTACAGCTGCTTTCGGTAGTTTGCGAGGTCCCCATCTGTCCGGCACATTGCAGCGCATGTGGGAGAGAAGGATGAGCAAATCATTTGGCTTCCACATCACCCGGGTATCGCGTTTCAGATAAACATGCTCTTCCTGAATTGTGCTCTGGCACCTCGCAGGGTGATTAGTGCAGATGGACACGGCTCTCTCCCCGAATCAATCAGTTCACCACCACAATTCTTTTGTTGTTTCAGATCTGGTGGAGAATTTCGACGAGGCGTCCAAGGATGAGGCTAACTAGAGGAAACGGGACTCCCTGAAGTGTCAGAGCCCGACAGGACCGTGTGAGGCCCGAGATGTTTTTCTGTCTATTTCGAGGGGTGGAGAGCTGATCGTTAAAGTACCCGAGAAGATGAAATGTCCGTCAACTTTTGGCTGTGAGCATTCTGTCAAATGTGCAACACCTGAAGGACGTACCTGCCTACTCCTAGGAATCATTTGAGTCATTTTCTAGAATAGGACTCTGATGTATTGAAACCGGGGGGGAAGCGGTATCCAAGCAAAAGGCATTTTAGTACTCATTCCACCAGACTCTCCACATGCTTGTTGTGCTCCCTTTGTCCCGTTAGTGAGAGATTGTGTGTAAAATGTGGTTTTTAAGGCTCCCGCTGTACATCTGTTACTAAACCTTGATTCCTTTGCGGCCTCGTTCAAACCATCATATCTGGAATAAACCTTTGCTACTGTCATAAAAATAGCCAACGGTTCTTTTTTCTTCTGTCTCCTATAGTACGACTTCCACAGCTGGAATATTGTAGTGCATGTCGAGGGTTTGATGCGTAGATTTAAAATAAGGAAAGATTTCTGACTTAAAGACGAGAATCTTTATTTAACTGTATATAGACTTTTGACCTGCTTCAATGTTCAGCACGTGGTGCTCAAATACGTGTTTTCTCCACATGACTGCTGTTTAAAAAAAAATCTGTTAAACAGTTTGACCTTTTCACAATTTGCATCCACCTATGACTTGTAGTAATTAACCCCATCACAGTGACAAGCGGCACCAGAAGACCCTCGTCGAGGTCATTTATGTTCACAACACATCAGTACACTTTAGTCACAATACAACATGGCAACTACATTTTTCCAATAAATAACGTCAGTACGGCACAAAGATCAACTGATTGGCTCGATTTGTGAAAAACCTACTTTCAATCCACCTGAAACGAGCTCATTATGAACACGAGGCAATTCAACATATTACAGATTTTTTACCCTAAATGTTTTTATGGTTAATAAGTTAGCAAGTAACATGTATGTTAAAAGACTGAAAACAAAAACTTCATGCTTGATCAATCCTTCACTGCGCTCCACATTATGCGGCATACTGCAGTCAGCAGTGCATGCTGGGTAGTAGCTCTACCCAGGATGCACTGCTCTGTAAGAACTGAACTTTTTGTACGTGGATGAGATTTGCGGCTCCACATCCACTGGCTAATTAAAGCAAAGGGGAAAACGTTCGGGTTTTATCACAAACCGTCAAGTGCGTCACGATTTCAATACAATGTTGATGATGACGCAAAGCGGTTGAAATATCACCGAATAGAAACAAAGCGCTCCTGCTGGCGCGCCGCTTGTGTCCCGGTTCATTCTCTGATCCCCATCAGTAACTTCAGCAGGTGGGCCTCCATCACCTGTTGAACTACAGAGAAACAGGTGGTTTGTTATTTTAACGTTAATAATCCATCATTCCCAGGAGGGAGACTCGCATCACACTGAAGTCCCATCATGCATTGTGAGGAAAATGCCGTGTCAATCCTTCAACATTTCAGTGTAAACAACTGAACTGTGGGCAAGTCGAGAATACTTTAATGTATAAATCTCAAGACTTTTGATCAGTGGGACTTTTCTCTTTCAAAGGTCATGAGAGCGTTTGAATGTTTTTCCCTCCACAGACACATTCTCAGTCTGTACCTGCGTGTTTAAAAACCGTTAAATTAACCCCCGGACTACGTGCTCCATGTACACTTACCGTTGCGGTGACCCATGGCCACAGCCATGTCCATTGCATTGAATCCAGAATCCGACTCAATGGTGGGGTCAGCGCCGCTCTCTGGGAGACAGACAAACCCACGACACTAAAGATTCATCTTCATCCCCTGAGACGTATCGCAGGTCCCTCAGTAACACGCGTGTCCTCACCTAACAAAATTTCCACACAGCGCACGTGGTTCCCGTGGACGGCGTACAGCAGGGGGGCTCCCCCATTCTGAGGGATCATCAAAGCACACAACCTCACATTAAATCCCCAGAACGATCTCGTTACGATCGACCAGAGCGGAACGTGAGAGGAGAGCTCCGCGTTCTCACCCAGTCGTATTCATTCACGTCGACGCCGCAGTCGATGAGCATCTTCACGATATCGGTGTATCCCTTACTGCAGGCCAAGGACAGCGCGCTCTCCCTCCCTCGGGCCAGGAGGTTGGGGTCGGCGCCCTGTGGAGGAGAGCGACGACCCGGCAAGTAAAATGAGGATGATGAGCTGGAACATTAGTAAATCCACGAGATCTGCACGACGGGCGTTAAACGCACATTTTGGAGGAGAAACTCCACGACGGCGATTTGTCCGTGCGCCGCCGCCCACATCAGGGGGGTGAAGCCTTCCTCGTCTTGGTGGTTGATGACGGTTTCTGTTAAAGAGCAACGTGATTACATATTTATTGTCATCCCCACACCCACAACCCTTCATGACAAATACCAATATTTAAAATGCAATGGATGCTGCATACTTTGATTAAAGTTTAACAACGTCTTTGAAGTGTTTTATGTAGGACTTCAAGATAATAAGTTTCTTGTTTGGGATATTTTAAATGAAATAAATGAGAAACTAGTAGAGCAGACATTGAGCAAAAACTGAAATTTCTTTATTTGGTCCCTGCTTGTTAAATAAATACCTTCTGATTGACTGTATTGCATAATAGTGAACTCTATATTTTTCATTTTTCTTATGACTCATATGGCCGTCTTGACCCATTTTAAGCCAGTTGTGTTGTGTTCGCTACCTTGTTCGATCCTGCTGGCCAGAAACACCATTTCACCCTGTGCTGCGAGCTGATGAATGGACAGAGCTGAGAGGGGGAAACACACAGGTGTTGATTCATCTTTTGACTTAATTCCCGTTGGAAAGATTCAGTCAAAGTAATGAACCAATATACATGAAAATGTGGTACTTACAATGCACCAGAAGAGGCGTTGAAGAAACCTCATTGCCGCGGTGCTTATTGGTGAGGGTGGTGGACTGCTTGATGGGGGAGAAGTGCTTGGTGGTGGACGGCGTGTACACGTGGCGCACCTGTATCCCCGGGGACGGGGACGTCTGGATGTTGCACTCAGCTGAGAGGCGAGGGAGACATTTAGAGGGCAGTAAGCGCACTTCAGCGACCGCCTCCTACGTCAGACGTCGTCACCGAATCGTACCTTTGAATAAAACGGAAGCCACCTCCAGATCGGAGTTGACCTGGTCCTGGATGTTCTTGCTGTCCTCCTCGTTCAGCGACTTGACGAATCTCGAGCAAACGTTCATGTCAAAGCGGTTGGGCAGGATGAACTTGATGCCCATGGCCACGTTTTGGGTGCCCGTGTCGTCGGGGCTCGCGCCCATCGACTGCTCGGTCTTGATGACGCTCAAGTCGGGCATCACGCAGATGCCTTCCATGTCCTCTGCCGTCCCACCGGAGGCCGACACGGTGACGTCCATTCTCTGATCGGTCCCCGAGCTGTCACACTGGGATTAAATCAAAGTCACCGCACACCTGCAACGCGGAAAACACTGGCATATAAACCAAACCAAATATAAACGGTGTCTCGTTACGTTTAGCTCTAATGTGTCCTAACCGCTGGCTGTCAAAGCTAACCTCAAAACAGCAGGTTAGCTATCAGTTAGCTTGCTAGCTATTGTTATTGTTACGTTCCGTTAATCCCCCAAACAAACCATGGATTTTTTTTTTAAATATGGAAACAAATTAATGCTTTTAGCAATATTTAAAATAAATAAAGACTTATCCTACTCGATAAGGCATTGTTTTTTTGGAATATCCTCATGCAGTCACCCGTCTGCTTTCGGTGTTTTGATAGATTAACGCATGCGCAATTAGTACCGTCCAAGAGAGGGTGCATCCACTATTAACCTCCCCCTTTTTGGTTCCGGGACCTCTGCACCAGATTTGAGTTTATTTTATTTACTTTGATCATGGAAATCACAGAACTAGATGCCAAATATGTAATTCTGATGACAGAAAACGTCAGTTGGTGATTTAAAAAAAAAACAGCTATTTGCCATTATTTTATTTTCTATTAAAAATGGCAATGGTGTTTCAAGGCAACTACCAGGAAATAAAAAATGCTAAAGAATGTAACAGTTAACTAAATGCATATATAACGTATACATAATTTATATAAATAAATCAATTCTGTAGAAATAAATATAAAATAAATGTTTATATATATACCACGTTGTTCTACAGTACATTATAGAACAACGTGGTACATCAGATGCTAATTTGAGACCTGAGTTTGAATTATGGACGGTAGTAATGCTGCACCCGACCCACTAGAGGGCGGTAATGCGCCTCAGCGTTTATTGTCAAACCCTTTTTACAAATTACGAGGAAGCCGAAGAAACGTCTCGTTCCGCCCGCTTGGATGTACTATGCCTAGCTCCGAGTGGTGGTGGTGGGGGGCATAGATAAATATATCATTGTAAAATTTAAAATTAATACATAAATATATATAATACCATACTTTAAAGACCGTCAACGCTTTACAACCGGTTAGGCGGGATGAGCGGGATACCGGGGACTGCCGTCGTCCAGGTCACCAACCTGTCCTCGGCCGTGAGCGGCGAGCAGATGCGCACTCTGTTCGGTTTCCTGGGAGACATCGAGGAGCTGCGGCTCTACCCGCCCGAGTAAGAGCACCTCGACACCGGCGACGGCCGGCCAGGCGACGCCGCGGCTTTGCGGCCTACACGAACGTTCACATTTTAACACCGAGCCGTACGCGACTAACCGTTTCTCTCCCCCCCCTCTCCTTGTGTTTCTCCCCCCCCCCCCTACAGCAATGCCCCTCTGTCTTTCTCCTCCAAAGTGTGCTATATAAAGTACCGAGACCCCTCCAGTGTTGGTGTGGCGCAACATCTCACCAACACTGTGTTTGTTGACAGAGCCTTGATCGTTGTGCCATGTGCGGAAGGTGAGTGCGTCTTCGTCTTTTTAAAAAGGGAAACACGAGTGAAATGTCTTTGAGGTGTCTTCAGTGGACTTGCTATGGCCTCCCCCACCCCCACCCCCACACACACCCCCAACCCCCCATTACCCGAATCCCACCGTTCGGTGTTGGGGTCGAAACCTGCATTATTTTCCTTTCTGATTATTCACGTGGATAAATAGGCGTATTTGTGCCGCCGGGTAGTTGTTATTTTAGCGGCCGGTGGCTGTTTTTACCCGCTCAGTTGTGTCTGCGGTCACCAGGTGGTTTATAACACTACACACATGTTCCTTCTGTTTTTTTTTGTGATCCCTGGAATAAAGTAGCATTGTTTAAATGCCATAAGTAGCTGCTATTAATGTAAGTTGTTTCATGGACGTGACTAAATAAGTCCAGCTAACTTTATCCCCTTTCTCTCTCTCTCCTTCTCATATATTTTGTTCGGTGCTCCTTTTCTTTACCCCCCCCCCCCCCCCCCCTTCCCCATGCCCCCCCCCCACCACCCTTGAGTGCCACTGTTTTTGTGTACAGTGAAAAAGAAAGAAACAATGATATCGCCTAACTTTAATGCTTTTTGTCCACGTGACTTGGTGCTGGATGGCTACTGAGTTTATTAATTTGGTTCTGTATGTTCTTTCTGTGTGATTATGTGTGCATATCAGATGACTAGACTGGCCCAGCTGTTACACTAGCCTGAGTCAGGCATTGTTTTCCAAGCCACTATCCCCGATCGGGCCAACGCAGCCTTCAAGGGGGAATGTGACCGGGAGAATAGCCTGCTGAACCTTCCAAGATGGACACCTTGTCTCTTTTTTTTTTTTTTTTTGTAATTCTTTTCTTTTTGGTTTGTTTTCTTTCATACTTTCCCATGTTGTCCACTCTCTACTGTCTCTACCTAGAAACTACAGTATTGATTATATCTAGCTTTGTGTTTTTCTATTTGTTATTTTTTGCTTTTTGTTGTTTTTTGATTATTGTCCAACCCCCCCACCCCCCTCTCTCTCTCTGCTACAGCTGCGGCTTGTGTGTGATTGAGTTCTGTCCAGGTTGCTACGGCAAACCGGTGGGATGTGTATCACACAAGGGATGCTAGGAGGATCACTAACACTTTACTCCCTTCTCACCTCCAGAGTTTAGACATTACGAAAGTGAGATTCTATTTGTAGTAAAAGGTTCCGCCCTCCCTCACATACGTCACACAGCTCGGGTTTAAAGCTGTTTAAATGTTTTAAGGATAACACAACAACTCTCCATTCAACACCCCTTTTCTCTTTTACCTTTGGAAACACACACGTTTTATTATAAACGTTAATTCATGCTCAGTTTCTTACTGGTCTTAACGTAGCTCTCTTCTCCAGCTCTAACCCGTCGAGGAGTGAGACATTTGGTTGTTTTTCTTTTATGGCTTAAGTCTTGGCTAACATTTCCCACAGTTCTTAAAATTGTTGTTCTTTTCTGTATTTGATGTCCTGTGTGCTATTAGTGATGCAGCCATTGGGGTTGTGTTGTGTTGCACACCTTTCCAACACTGCGAAACGATCACCTCCCCCCCCCCCCATGGAAAAGCGCCCATGCTTGATATCGTATGGTTCATGACCAATATGTTTCCAGTACAGGTGACCCTTGCATCAAAGTGTTGACTCATTCTCTGCATTGGGTTTTTCTTTCTTTCTTTTCTTTTTTTTTGTTGATCAATGAAAAGAGACCAAGGACAAAATGAGTGTTCTTTTTGTTTCTCAGAAAAAGTTAACTATGTTATTGAGGAATAATTCAGATGACTGAGGAGAATAATTTAAGAAAAGCCAAGTAAGGATGCTCGGTCTCCAGTAGTAAACACTAGACCACTTGTAGGTTGTATGGGGAAGTGTATGCTCTCTTTCTCTCTAGAATACAGTGGGATTATTGTGCAGACATAGAGGAGACAGAGTGAAGCGTCCTTCTATTTCCTTCACTAATATCTGCTTCTGTCCTGCAGGGAAAATCCCGGAAGAGGCCAAGGCCTTGTCGCTCTTGGCACCTGCCGCCCCGATACCCAGTCTGCTTCCCGGCGGGGGCCTGCTGCCAATTCCAGCTCCCGCTCCCGCTCCGCTGCAGAACGTGAGTGGCCTTCATCCTCTACTCTCACAGACCAGACCCACGTGATGCTCCTCAACGTCACTCGGCGAAGAAACGCCTCTAGTCTAGTGTCGCATCATCACACAAACCCCATCGCAAAGTCTCTGCGGCTGCTGAAGACGGGCGACCGCTCGTTTCCTTCGCTTACTGTCTTTGCATCCCGGGTGGGACCGCCGAGGCCTTCCCGACGCTGCAGTAACGTGTGTGTGTGTGTTTTACACCCACAGCTGAGCCTCCCCGTGGTGAATCGGCTGCCGGCTGCCCTGGAACCCCCGGCGTCGGCGAGCGCCCAGCCCCCCCTCATGGGAAATGTGGATCCCTCTAAAGTGGACGAGATCAGGAGGACCGTCTACGTGGGCAACTTGAACTCCCAGGTGACGTGCTGTCGAAATCACTCGCCATCCATTTATATAGTTCCTGAGCCGTGGAGCTGTTTGGCACGAAGGGCGACGTGTCAGTTCGCAGGTATACAGAGAATATATTGATCAGTATAATTGGATCAATGTCAGTTTGATTTGGTGTCAGTAAGAATTCTACTTTTAATTCACAAACGGCATCTCACATCTGACGTCGGACGCCAGATCAATGAAATGAATCCTTTTAAACAAGTGAACTCTCGACCGGATCGATTCCGGCTGAAGGGGATTAAGATAAATCACAACTTAAACCATTTGTCACCGATTGGGGAGCCCCCCCCCCCCCCCCCCATAAGAATCAATGCTTTGGCTGCAGTCTAATTCCCCCCCCCCCCCCACCCGCAGACCACCACCGCTGACCAGCTGCTGGAGTTCTTCAAGCAGGTGGGAGAGGTGAAGTTCGTGCGAATGGCCGGAGACGAGACCCAACCGACTCGCTTCGCCTTCGTGGAGTTCGTGGAGCAGGACTCGGTCGGCCGCGCGCTCACGTTCAACGGAGTGATGTTCGGAGACAGACCCCTGAAGTGCGTGTGTCCCTCTGAGCCGCAACGAAACGTCTCCCCCCCCCCCCCCCCCCCGGGCGCTTCGCCTCGGCTGATTTCCACGTCCGTGTCTTTTCAGGGTCAACCATTCCAACAACGCCATCGTGAAGCCCCCGGAGATGACGCCGCAGGCCGCCGCCAAGGAGCTGGAGAGTGTGATGAAGCGGGTGAGAGAAGCCCAGTTTACCATCGCCGCCGCCATAGAGCCAGGTACGCCCCCCTTTTCACTCCGGCCGGGCACGCGCATCGGGGACCATTTGGGGTGACGGATTCTCGAAGTTGTCGCGTGACGATTGCCGCTCTGCCTCCAGCTGACGTGAAGAAGCGCTCCTCCAGTCGCTCGGTGAGGTCGCGGCGGTCCCGCTCCCGGTCCCTCTCCAAAACGCACAGGAAGCGGTCCCGCTCGAAACACAGGTGACGAACTGACACAGAACCTCCGCTGACGCCGGGGGGGCGGGGGGGGGGGACGCTCCTCTGTGTCCAGTCGGTGGCTTATTTCTTTATCCGCGTTTTCTGCCCCCGCTCTTCCCGGACGGAGCAGACCGGCGCCGAAGGTGGCCCCAAGATCGACTCCCACGGTTCCCGCGGCGTCCACAAGCGGCGGCTCCCGCTCCCGGGAGAAAAAGACACAGTCGCAGCGCTCCCGGTTTGTGGGAACAAAGCGAGGCATCGACCCGGAGTGACGGTTAAAGATGCAGATTCATGTTGTCCCGGCACTCGGCAGCAGAGGTCACCAGCTTCTTACTAAATCTGCGATCATCATCGATCCGGCTCATCTTTTTTTTTAAACGCTTTGATATTATAAAGGATGAATCTATGGATCGTTGCCTCATGTTTTTGTGTCTTTAACGCATGTAGCTTCTTCCTCAAATGGACGCTATGGTCTTAAATGACTGTTGTTATCAGGGGCCACAGGAGGAGGAGTAAGGATCGCTCCAGGAGCCCTCGGAGGAAAGCCAGGTCACCCTCCCCAAAAAGGTTCAATCCACTCCCACCCTCATGTTCTGTGTTTCACGTTGTCTTCATGTTTTCTGGGTGGATTTACAAACGAGCGAACAAACATCCGCCTTTAGGGATTTCCACCCGATTGTGACTTGTTGCCTCTCTGTGTATCTGCTCGCCTTTCAGAGGGAGGAAGGAGAAGAAGAGGGAGCGCAGCAGGGAGCGGAGGGACCGCTCCACGTCCAGGAAGAGGAGCCGCAAGGAGGAGGACCGGATAAAGAGCAAGGCCCCGCCGAAGAAGGTACGGGACCTCCGAAGTAGCGCTTCTCGCTGCTACGAGCTTGGGATAATTTAATGAGGCCCCCCCCCCCCCCACTCTAACCCCGAGAAACCAGCGAAAGTTTTCGCTCTCACCTTGCACCTCAAAGCTGACCTAGTTTTTAAAGTTTGCAATAAAGATCAAACCGGCTGCAAGATGAAAGGCGACACCTCTTTGTTCTTATCGCTCTCATCTGCTGTTGATAACGATCATAACACCCATAATGCACTGCAGCCGTACGCGCTCGTGTTCTTTGCTGAGGTGATACTCCACCCGACATCTACGCAGGAAGAGAGTAGAACAGAGTAGAAGTCGAACGGTTCTGGTCCGGTTCACACGGCTCCCTCCGACGCACCGCGAGGGGAAAGCAAAGCGGCTTCTATTACTGAAGTCGCCCACTTCATTGGTAAAATGCCCTAATTTCACGTCACAGATGATGAACAAAGGCATCAAAACATAGTAGAAGGAAAGCGTGAGCGTTGAATCCAAGCTGGGTTCTAGCTGACTTTTCATGATCCTGTCAGATAAGAAGAGGTGAGAAAAAGCAGGAAGCAGATGAAAAGTTAAAATGCAGAAGTTGTTTCTGCGTCTGTATCTACAGTTTCAGATAGAATTTCAAGATATTTGTTTTTATGTAATGTGTTTTTCTGTTAAATTGCGTTCCGGGGCAGGTGCTGCGTATTTGAACTGTGCGCCCAACGGCTGCTCAGTGTCGAGTAGGCCTTCCTAAGCGTCTGGACCTCCGTATCATAGCAACCAGATGCAAAGGAGCCTGAGGGAGCTCTCCAAGGAGCACCTGAGCTGCTAGTTGATGAATTTACACTCGGGAGGGAAACTTAGCGTTTGGATATTTTGTGCCGGTCTGATTGTCACTCGTTGGGCTTCCAGGCGGGAAAGGACCACGGCCGAGCGGGAAAGGAAGACTACGAAAGTGGAAGAGAAGACGTGATGTCATCGCCGTGCGGCCGGCACAACGGCAGCCACAAGACCCACAACGCCGGGCGCGCACGCACGGGCGCGGACGGCTCCAAGTGACTGTGGCCGCGCGGCGGCGACTAATGTGGTCACATCTCAGCGCAGCACGCCGGGCGATGACCACTCGCCGTCAGCGTGTTTTTGTCATCGTCGTCTCATGGCTGTTTGTTTTTTGTTGTTGTTGTTGTTTTTTAACTCCACATTCTCGTCCACGCGTGGATCCTGTGATTCCGCTGATGCTCAGTGTCCCGCTCAGGGGGCGAGGCGGCGCTCGGCACAGCAGAGGAAGCCCCGAAGAAGAAGGCGCTCGCGATGCGACAGTAAGCCACGAAATAGCTGAGTCAGCTTCCAAAACCAACACATTGGTTTGCATAATATTACACGGCCACCCGCCTCTTTTTGTCAATTACTGAAAGAACTCGACGCCTTTTTTATTCTCACTGTGCGACGCAAACGCTGTCAGCTTCCCCAGCAGATCACAGTGACCGTGCATCTGCAGAGCTTCCATGTTTCCAACAAAATGAAGCCATGTTTCTATTGGCCAATGCACATTGATCTGATCCCTCCGTTCCTCCTGCGAGGTCCCGACATGCCCGGCATGCCTCTTTTGATTAGCAGGATTTGTCATAATCAAGTAAAAAAAATCCAACACAGTTTTGCTATATGCAGCAACAATCTACGTTAACAACAATAACAATGCATCTTCGGGTAAAGAGATTTTAAAATGTTTTTCTTTAGAACCGCTGGGAAAGCAGGGTTCTCAAATGAATAATTAGTACATGGAGGATTTTATGCACAAAGACAAATTCTAATCTGGTTCATATTTCAAGCTTGACTGACTTCTTCAGGCATTTTAGAGTGAATCGTTATTATTGATAATAAGTCTGTCCATCTACCCGGTTCTGTGCTGAGTGACCTCAGTGGGAACAGCAGCGATGTTTAAGTCTCAGTTTCTAATATTAATCATGAAGATCAGCAGCATTTTACACACAGTTTGTAAAAATAAATACTGTATTATACAGACGGTTATCGTGTGTGTGTGTGTGTGTGTGTGGAGACGTGCTGCTCACCAAAAGGGAAGTAAACCAAATGTCCTTTATTAAGTACAACGCGTCATATCTCATTGAGCGACCCCCCCCCCCTCCGCTGTTGCTGACGACATCTTCCCATTCTGTTCTTTTTTACTGGTGGAGACAAACGGTACTTTACGCGTCTCCAGGAGACTTTTAAATTGGGAAACCAAAATGCTCATTTGCTGTTAACGGGAGACTTTAACAACGTGAGCGGAGCTTTGGTCCTTTTTCTGCTGCAGCCGGGACCTGGAAGGTCCTGCAGAAATGTGCGCTGTTGATTTTAAGGCGTCAAGTGCTGTAATTATGAGCGTGCAGAAGTTGTTCAGTCGCTAATATATTATATATAAAAAGATGCATAACTCATTCGGCCGACGAGAAAAACCCTGTTTTACTTTCTCTTTTGTTTTATGAGTGTACATTTAATAACATTTTCTTTTTCATAATTCCGATTTGTCACAACAATGTAATGATAATGTTCCCGTCTGCTGTATTGTAATGCTGATAAAACACAAAAAAAATATTTACTGTTTTTATAGATACAAAACAAACTCTTAAAAAAAAAAAAAAAAGTGGGCTTAAAAGGCTCAGAGTCGCTAAGGGAGCTAACGGGGTCCGGGGGGGTCGGATGTGTCTCCAGTCTGCTCACTGCAAACACAGAAGAGTCAAAAGTGCCTCGACTGAGATTGTACAGAATATTCTAATAAAATATGGAGACTTCTTGACAAATGCAACCTGAATTTATTGTTTCAGATGTTAAATAGCTAATGAGATGTTATATTTAAGTATCGTCAGCCGTCTTTCGTGGTTTTTAGAGTAGATGGAACATTCATGGGAGTTTAGTGGTTTCTTCTTTTTATTTCAACATTTGTTTTCGGACATTTCTGGTGTTGCAGTTTTCATTGTTGTGATCGTGTCAAGTGTATCGGCAAGCGGTTTTTATTTTTTCTTTCTTTACAGTACTGGTTATATTTTAAAAATACTTAAATTTCACATTGTTTTAGGAAGCTCATTTTTTTCTGCTTTTATTTATTTTATTTTTTTTGTGCACAAAACCTCAGTTTGAAGTTGTGATCAAGTTTAGTAAAAATAGATTCCAGCATAAAACAGTTTGGTCAATACAGTAGGAAGGTTCCTCCTGAGGAGAATCTGTGTGTGAACTCTAAAGATCTGCAGCCAGTGGAGAAGAACTTTGGTGTGTGTGTGTGTGTGTGTGTGGTCCTCAGTTTGAAACCAGCGATGCATCTCCTCTGTTTCCCCACAATAAAGAGACTTTTCACTTGGTTACGCTGCGTTAGTGAAGCGTCTGACTCATGATTCCGTCGTCAGGGGGTGTTTGTGCGCGTTGACCGTCTGAGGGTCTAAACGTCTGTCTCTGTAAATCCCCGTTTCTCTTTTGGGCCGCTACATTCTGGTTGTTCAGACCTGAGCAGCTTCGGCTACATTTCTGCCGCCTCGCCGTCCACCAGCAGGCTGGTGCTGAACTGTCCGATGTAGTCCATCCCCGACCTCGTCACCGGCCGGCTCTCCGTGGCCCGCTGAAACATGTCCAGCGTGGTGTAACCCCCCGGGGGGGCGAGAGGCGCGCCGCGGAGGTCCTGGATCGCCCCCCCGGTGGCGTCGCGCGGGACCTCCCCGTCCGAGTCCTCGCCGTCTCGGCGGATCCAGTCCGAGTCTCCCTCCCCCTCTGAGCAGGAGCTCAGGCTTTGTTTCTCCACCAGCCGCAGGCTGGCTGTGTCCCACTCCTCCACCTTCAGCGTGGTGATGGACTCCAGGAGCTCCTGCGTGGAGTAAAGAATCAGGTTCCTACGGAGTTCTTTGTGTGTCGGGAGTCACTGGAATCGCAGACAGACGCTCACCAGGTCGCACGGCTCCTCTATGTTCTGCATCGCGTTGCTCTTCTCGGGGTTCGGGATGCTCGGCCACACAATGGCTTTCGCCCTGAGCAAAGCAGCAGGTGTGGAGGACCCATGCGGTTAGATGTTCATCCCTTTTTACAAATCACAGAGAGCTGGTTTGACTGCAAGACGGCGTCTGTACCTTCTTATGATAACGGGTCCAAACATCAGCACGGTGGCCACAACTGCAAAGATGGTGATGATGCCACGGAGATGAGAAGATTCTACAGAAGAAGCACAGAACACGCAATAAGTGAGGCTGTTCCTTTGAACGTGTCACAAATGAAAGGCCGTGGGTCCTTTGGTGGCCATGACCTTGCTCCTCGGTTTTGAACCGGGTCGCCGGGCTTCGCACTCCTTCCCCCGCCGCCGTGAAGCCCGACATCTGGACCTCGTACGCTGTGCCACTCTCGAGGTTCCGCAGTTCAAAGCTGTTTAGCGTCGGATCCACCGTAACATCTGCAATCAAAAGAGCCACGTTTCTTAAGCTCGTTGCCGGCGACACACTGCGACGCCGCCTCTCCTCCCCGCGGCACGGTTCACGTGCTGAACAGAATCCGCCCGCTCTTGAGAGGCTCGTACGCAGTTTCTGGGTCAAAGCACCTCCAGATCCTTGTCAGGCCGCGGAAGCCGAACGAGCACCCAACGCTGCGGCTTTTAACACAAAAGGTTGCACAACTCGAATCTCAGTTCAGGCAGGGCTCACTTCTCTCGGTGCCGGGCCTCCCGTGGTGGAGCTCGTTGTAGTGGATCACGTAGCCCCGCAGGAACCCTCGGGCGTCTTCCTCCGGGATGGACGACCACTGCAGCGCCGCCGAATCTAGCGTCACCCGGGGGCCGCTGATGTTTGCGGGAGCGGCGACCGGAGCTTTTGAGGGCACAGAATCCAGAGCTAACACATGCGGCGCCGGTTCTACTCGGGAGTACGCGGAAGACACGACTCACGTCCTTCGGCGAAATAGAACTGCACGGTCCCGTAGGTGCTCTCGCTGTTGTTCACGGCGTCCATGTTGCAGGTGTCCTTGTTGGGCCGCGTGTGCAGAGTGATGCTGTATCGCTTGAAGGGCTCCAAAGGCTCTGCGTGTTTAAAATATAAAAACGCATGTCAGGAGACTGAATCATATTCCACCAGCTCACCCAAGTCTTCTGTAAATGACGCCTGAATGCTAAACCCCCGACCCAAAGGGATTTGTTTTAGCTCAAGCTTGGTGCTTTGTTTAAATGTAATAGTCGTATAGTAACAACCGACTTCCTGGAGAAGAGGCCAACCAGAACACACCTGATAGAGGAGATAAGGTCCTGTGGTTGTCTCTGTTCTGGTAGAAGGACTTGTATGCTGCTTCGTGTCCCTTCCTCCTCCACTCCGCGCAGAAGCAGACGTAGGTTTTGACGAGATCGTCTTTCCAGGAGATGGTGAAAGATACGTCGCTGTGGACCGTCACGTTCAGCTTCCCGTCTGCCGTACCTGCGAGGACGAGTTTGTGATGAACCTGCGCTTGTTACCTCGCCGCCGGGGGGTGGAAACGTTCTTTTCAAAGTGACTCACGCGGCCCGCCCTCTCGCCGCGGTATCGCCCGGCTGACGGCCGGGGAGGTGCTGGCGTTGTTCACGGCGCTGATGGCCAGGCGATAAGCGGAGTGGGAGATGATCAGCGTGATCTCGGGGCGAGAGGTGGTTATCCGCTCCTGCGGAGGCTCGCCGGAGGCCTTGCCGACGGTCACGCGGTACCCATCGTGCAGCTCTCTGGCTGGAAACTAAACAAACAAACCGTGGCGTGAGTGACGTGAGTGACGCGGGAGACGCCGTTCTTCTTCTCGTGGAAGTAGAAAGAATGCGATTTGAAAAATGACCTTCCAGGTTAAAGAAAGCAGCCGGGAGCCTCTTCTTCCCTCAATGTCGGTGTCTTGAAGGTCGACAATGAGCGGCCGTGAAGTCAGTTCTGAAAGAAGACGTTTCTTTAGCAGATATAAACGATGTTTGGATGTTGTATTTACTTGAAAGCAATAAAGGGATAAAACAATCTGACCTGGTGGGACTGTGTAGGCCTCGCTCACTGCGCACTGTGGGCATTTCTTACTAGTGACGCAGCGTATCCGGACGCTGTAGACCAGCGAGGAGTTCAGATCGTCCACTCTACATGTCGTTGCGTTTAGGGAGATCACGCCCTGCGAACGGCGGAGAAATGAACGAATGCCAAGAGGAATCATCCGACGCGTAAAACTCAAAAAGCAGAACAGAACCAGTTAATCAGAGACATCTCAACAAGGGCCACATCTCCGTTTGCTCGAGACCTGCTCCCCTCATGACTGCTGAAGGTCTGAGGAGGAGGGAGCTGCGCTTGGTACGGACCTCGCTCCACGACCGGCTGCCCGGCGCCTTGTAGCTCACGGAGAACTTCCCGATGGCCTTGGCGTCCTCCCGTGGCCAGCTCACGTCCACCAGCAGACCTCCAGAGAGGCGGCTGAAGGTCACCTCGCTCGGAGGACCACACCGCACTGAAATATGGTGATTAAAGAAAAACATGTTCCGTCAGAGATGAAGAGAAACCTGCTCGTGAAAACCGCAATCTGGTGCACTTACCCAAAGGTGACTGACTGAAATTTGCCTTTGTGCAGATTGACGACTTGCTGTGTTCAAAAACCTCCACCAGCAGGTCGAACGCGCGAAATATTTTGATTGTTTTAGAGAAGTCAGCAACGCTATAATTATAGCAGTAGTTTCTACAAACAGAGAAGGTTTGAAGGATGAGAAGTTTATTGTCACGAATATATTGACGTGTGTGTGTGTGTGTGATTGCAGTTGAGCTGGAAAGGAGGGTTACTTACTTTGGTTGTCGTACGATGAGTGTGTACGTGTTTTCTGATGAGAGCCGTCCAGGTTTCCACACACACACCGGGTTGCCTGCGTTACGCTTCCGAAAACAATCCAAATCACGAACTCCATCTGAACGGGAGAAGCAGGGGGACATAAAACGATTAAGAACTCGGATGTGACGACGGCTGCTGATGAATGTATTCCTTTATTTTCTTTACCTGGGTGAGTCCCACAGTCGTGATATCGGGAGGACACGTTGTGTGACTTGCACTTCTCTGCAACGCAATGTGAATATGACGTGAAACCAGACTGCATGTCGCTTTCTCTGTGTGTCATTCTTACAAGAAGAGAAACACAACTCGAAGTACGGCGGCACTTTTTAGGAACTCTATTTTCTATCCCTTCCATTAGAGATAATTTGATGAAGTCAGAGTTGATTAGAGTTTGTTTGAGCGGCAGCGTGATGACAAGAACAGAATAGAATACCTGAACTGAAGGGCGTTGTGTAGTAAACAAGAATCAGACCTGGAGTTGAACACAAAGGGGAAGCTTTAGGATTACTAAATACGAGTCTTTTGACTAATACAGTATATAACAAATAATAAGTAAAGTAATTGAGCAGGTCACAGAAAATTCTCTTCTCAAAACTGAATTTAATAATTTATTTTCGATGTGTCAGATGGGAAACATAGTAGACCAAACACCCAGCAGAATGATACCAATGATTCACTTTGCTTTTATTAAAACTGCTTTATGTATCTAAAAATATAACAGACGGAGGGAGAAATGAACCGGCGCTCACCAAAGATGAAAAACTGCAACGTGGTGGCGCAAGAAGAACACGTTGAGGGTAGAAAATCCAGATGAAATCCACCACGGACCATTTTCAGCCGGCAGCGATCGAGTGACCCCCGAACTTCGGCTTCGAGCGTCACTCCCACATCTGAGCCATGATGCACACGAGCCGCCACTCACACTGAGCCAGCGGGGAATATGTGAGGCAGTTATACGCTGAAAGGGGCGGATTCACCGTTGTGAAACAGTTTTGAGGACTCCAGGGTTTTTTTTTTTTTTGTGTGTACTTCTTCTTTTCAAAAATAGAACAGCACCCCAGTGACTGAATGAAGTTCTCTGAGCGGTTACGGAAAACGAGCTTCCTTCAGTTCACTGTGACTCAGAGCGTGAAGACAAATGACTTTTGTCTGGGTTTTTTCAAGAATTATTTATGCCTTCAAAGAACTGAAATGCGAATATTTCAGTTTGAATCAAAAAGCTCTTACCGGTTTCTGTAAGTCAAAGGTTTGAGGGAAATGTGGTAGTAAATAATATTCACCACAACTCATGATGATAGAAAATACTGCATTACTGCATCAATATCCTGCAAGACTCAATACATTATTTTATGGTAAAGGAGAAGGAAAAAAAGAGCAAATCCAAAAGTCCAACAAATAATAACAACACATTGCGTTTCACCTGTTTGACCGTCGCCGTGCAGAATTACACATCAATCAAATCAAAGCTGGACAACCCGAAGCAGACAATGATGTCGCTATGAGCGGCTGCTTATCTCTGCGGTTACATCTGATAACGTCGCCCCAACCCGCGAGGCCTTCCTGGAGGTGCTGCACCCGCCCTTGTGTGGTCTACGCTACCTCCATCAGCACTTTTACCTCCATCAGCACTGTTACCTTCATCAGCACTGTTACCTTCATCAGTACTTTTACCTTCATCAGCACTGTAACCTCCATCAGCACAGTTACCTTCATCAGTACTTTCATACCTCCATCAGCACTTTTACCTTCATCAGCACTGTTGCCTCCATCAGCACTGTTACCTTCATCAGTACTTTCATACCTCCATCAGCACTTTTACCTCCATCAGCACTTTTACCTTCATCAGCACTGTTACCTCCATCAGCACTGTTACCTTCATCAGTACTTTCATCAGCACTGTAACCTCCATCAGCACTGTTACCTCCGTCAGCACTGTTACCTCCATCAGCACTTTTATCTTCATCAGCACTGTAACCTCCATCAGCAGTGTTACCTCCGTCAGCACTTCTACCTTCATCAGCACTGTAACCTCCGTCAGCACGGTTGCCTCCATCAGCACTGTTACCTTCATCTGCACTGTAACCTCCATCAGCACTTTTACCTCCATCAGCACTGTTACCTCCGTCAGCACTGTTACCTCCATCAGCACTGTAACCTCCGTCAGCACGGTTACCTTCATCAGCACTGTAACCTTCATCAGCACTGTAACCTCCATCAGCACTTTTACCTCCATCAGCACTGTTACCTCCATCAGCACTTTTTACCTCCATCAACACTGTTGCCGCTGTTTGCCCTGTTCGTGCTAATGTTAGCTACCGTTAGCCTCTAGTCGCCACATTGTAAAAAACACTTTTAGCGAGTTAAACTGCTCTTTTTAATGAAATGAAAACCTTGTGAAGAGGCTTTGATGGCCAAGAGGCAGCAGCACAGTCACAAACAGCACAGACACAACACAGTATGACAAACACATGGCTAAAAACAACAGTTAAATTAATAAACACTATGTACAAAAAAAAGGCAAATTACTGGAAGTACTTTGTGAAAAATGAAAGAGAGAAGTGAGGGCTGGTCAGCAAGTACAGCAGTCAACTGTGGCTCGTTACTTATGTTTGAACATGTTGAGAGAGGTGAGGGCTGTTAGTTAGTTTTTGCCAAACACAGTACGGACTTTTGGAATGATGAGCCGAATGAAGTCACTGCCGTCGGAAATGTGCAGAAGATTTGAGAGGTGGCGGGGGGTCATTCCCAAAATGGTTTTGTATGACGCTTTGAACCTCATGTGTTGACAACTTTAAATAAAACCCGTTTTCCACGAGTTGTTCTTACATTCAAGAGATGTCTTTGATGGTTTTGAGGAAATTTGCTTCCTATTCTTTTACAGTTTGTGTTTCTTTATTTCTAACGTCAAACCAGGACATTTAAGAGTTCCAGCAAGAGGAGGATGACACTGAATACAGTAACAGTACATGAGGGCGCCCATGTACTTTTAGCTGCATGTTCCTCCGTCAGTGCTGAGCTGTGTGCACAGGCAGGAAGTTCTGTTCTCACTTCACTGACTTCATTGCCGCCGTTTGTCACGACGGAGGTGTTAACACCTTCACCCTGTAGCAGCTGCACAGCTCTGACCCTGTTGTTGTTTACGATGACCGTTCTTTTATCCCCAAGTGCGGCCAAGTTGAAGGACAAGAACGGTTTGTTTAACAGCAGATTTACAGTTTTGCCGGAGGTTTGTTTCAGGATGCAATGCTTTGAATCCCAAAGCTTTGATCAAAATAAGAGAAGCACACCTTAAAAAATCCCCGTCAGAGGAAATGAATTTCTGCTAAGTGAGCCCGGCTCGTGTTTTTCTCCTCTTTTCTTCTCTTATCATCCCTGAGATCAGCGATGGAACTCACTTGTGGGCCACGAGAGTGGAAAGTTGGCGTGGGTTCCTCTCAGAACGTCTCGCTTTGATCTCAATCCTTTAGTCTCGGTTTTACCTACCAGAGACTTAGCAATGGTCTACGCCATCGATCACATATGAGAGTCATGAAACGAATCTGCACGGTAAGACGCTGAATCTGGATTCATGAAATCTGAAAAAAAATCTTCACCGAAAGTTGTTAAGTTGTGAGTAGGCGGTCGGAACACTGTGAAGACACAAAAAGGGTTAAAAGTACAACTTCAACCACTGATGACACCACGAGCTGGTTGGTGAACGGCGGCCTCCTGTGGAGAACCTGAGAACTGTGAAACGACGCTTTTTTTTGTCACAAGATGAAAACTACTGATTGAGTTTCGCTGCAGTAAACAGAGAAGAGAAACACAGTGAAGAGTCATCTAGTTAGTCCATGTGGTGTGAGGTTTTATTGGTATAATTCCTTTGCACGATAACGTCTGACAATTAGAGCTCATGCAGCTGAAGGTTTTCTGAGCTTTGCAGGTATTTGGTTCATACAACAGAAGAAGCACTTGACACACGGACGCTTTGACCTGATGATGGCGCTAGAGGAGAAGTCGTGGGCATCATTAAAGTTGTCGCAGCTTCTGTTTCTCTTTTGTTTGTCTTTCTCGTTCCTGCATGTGGAATTGAATAGAACTGAAAAGAGGCCAACGCCTCCTGAGGGTGAAGTGATTCTGGCAGCTTGGACGCATCACTCAACAGGTTTGGATGATAATGACGTCATCGACTGCCGCACCGTGTATTTTAAACGTGTGCTGCTGTCTCACACCCTCTCAACTGTCACAACTAAACCACGCAAACGCTGCTGTCGTGTACGTTAACATGTGGTTTGGCAACAGGAAGGCCTTTTAAAAAATTAGATACAAATGAATATTCAAGCTTAGAATCAAAGAACAGCGTAGCAGTGACACGTGAGCTTGCGTTCTGCACGTGCATGTCGCCCTTGTCTCAGCTGTTGACACACGGGACAGTCAACATTGGATCAGACGGCGTGTTTGCACCCTACGCAGCCCAGTGGGACAGTGTGGGAGAGTAGGAGGAAGCTCTCCGAGGTCTTCCAGACAAATGTGGTTCATTCGTTTTGTGTGTGTGTACAAACTCAGATTATGAACTGTGCACATTGCTCTGCAGCAAGAGAGAAGATTTTGGTTTCATTGGGATTTTGGGGTGACTTTGAAACATCTGTCCAGAGACTGGAGATGACAAACTCATTTACAGGTATATATATGGTTCACTGTCACTTTAGAGAAACCAATGAATCCGAACCTCAAACACAAAGGTACAAATGTGCTTTTGTAAGAGACCTGTATTCAAAACCAAAATAGTCAAATCCAAAGACAATTTTTAAAAGAAAACATTGTCAGCTGGTTTACACCTCTGTGAACTTCTTTCCCTTTCACAAATACAAACATCTTAATGTAAACATCCTGGTTTCACAAACTTGAATCATAACATCACGCAACATGACTTCAGGCTGAAGGTGTGGCTTCCATTTCAATGGAAGAAAGAAGATTGTGCAACATTGTTTGTATCTGCACACTTTTCCCTCCATATTTTAGGGGATTTATAGTTCCAACGTATCTCACAGGTGACCAGTCTGCACTCCTTGGCGTGAATCCCTACGGAATGGTTGCAATAATCAATCCTGCGTTTCTCCTGCATGTTCTCAACACACTTTATGATTTAAAACAAATACATACAGACAGCAACGCATACAGCAAGCAAATACAATGTATAAAATGTTTTACCTCTAACCAATCAACTTACCCAAACACCTTGTACCTTTTGATAGTCCCTTTTACCGTAAAAAACAGAAAACACTCTTTTCTCGTTTTTAAACAAAAACGGTAATAAAAAAAAGTGGACAGTCGTTTTCTCGTTTTTCCTTTACAACCAAAAAAATAAAACCAAGACAAACTGATAACTTTTTATTCCGTTAATCCATTTGGGGGTTTGGCCCATAAAACGAAAATACGAAGCGGAGCCGCTAAACCGGAAGCACGTAGGTTTTCACAGTAAGAGTCAACGCAATGGAACGTTTGAGTGCTAGAAATCCGTCTGCGATGCCAGCGGTAAAAAGCTAATTAATGGATATAAATAAATAACCCTGGTCCGACGGGATGTGTTAGCACCAATAGTTGACAACAGGCGCACTCGTTGCTCTTGGATCAGATATTTATTTTCCACGCATTGTGTCAGTGAAGGCAGAGACGGTTCAAGAGTAAACGTGCAAATACATGTATTTAAACCATAGATTTAATTATATTTAACTGTGTTTAAGTTATTTATGTAGGTTATTACAGATTACAAATTAATTAATATTACAAATCCTGAATGTAAACCGAAGAGGTCAAAGGGTGAGAAGATCTAATGTTGGTCTGTGTTCCAAAGAAAATTACTTCAGTTTTATTGCCGTCAGATGTGTTACTATTTTGAAAAAAATAAGCCTTAAATTATCATGGATTGTGTCATAAAAGTTCCATCTCAAAGCCATATTTTAGGGCAGCTTCTCGATTGCACAGAGACATTTCCAAGGCCACTTTCTCCTCACGTGCTCCTCAACCGCCTCCGTTTGGCTCGCTTAGAAGCTGCGGCAATCTGATTGGCCCCGCCGCGCACCTTGTGGGCGGGGCCAATCCAGGGTCTCGCAGCCACGACTCGCGCGTGTTGTGAAAGCGTCGGTGACATCAAGGAGTCGGGCCGCTACAAAGTGACCAACAGAGGCCACTTTCAAGCGAAGAGGAGACCCGCAGCGGGCTCGATAAGTATTTTAATATCGACACGTCGCCGTTTAGCTTTTACTTGGGTTAATAGAGAAAAAAACAAAATAGAAAAAGGAAGAAAAAATAAGTTCTATCCTTTTATCTTGCAGCGAAAATGAACTCCCCGGACAGGTGCGTTGACAGGTTAATTACCAGCGAAGTTACGCGTCGGTTTCACCTCGCGTCTTTAGATGAGCGCGTCTGTTGATTTGAAATTCACCAATTCAACATTCGACAGAAGAAAATGGAGCAAAAGCGTTATTTTTCTTGTGGAAGCGAGTCGTCGTCGTCGTCGTCCGGCTCGGACACGATGTCAGAGGGCGAAGGAGAAGCGACGCCCGAGCTGGACGTCCAAGTTCCCGCAGGCGATGCTCGCGACTCGGACCGCGAGAGCGTCAACGAGCCGGAGGAAGACGCGGAGCCCCCGGGGGGCGAGGTGAGCGGGGACGAGCCGGAGGAAGACGCGGAGCCCCCGGGGGGCGAGGAGAGCGGGGACGAGCCGGAGGAAGACGCGGAGCCCCCGGGGGGCGAGGGGAGCGGGGACGAGCCGGAGGAAGACGCGGAGGAGAGCGGGGACGAGGACGAGAAGGTAAACACGAGAGCTCCGGCGCGTGGCTTTAGTTTTCAACTTGTTGAATACAAACGGAAAGAGAGAGAAGTGTGCCGGGAATCCTCTTTAACGCCCCCCAACGACTCCGTAGACGGTGATAAAGTTATTTTTATTCAGAATATCTGTACACGAGCACCTGAATCATCCGCTCGACCTCCGAGTTGTGTTTGCTGACGTCACCAAGTCAGAGCCGCTGCACAGTCCCAGGAATACTTCATGCTGTGAGCCTCTTAAGACTGCGGCATCTATTCTTAGGCTCTTGAGTGTTCCTCACTATGCGAGCTGCCCCCCGAGACCTGTCCCCCCGAGACCTGTCCCCCCGAGACCTGTCCCCCCGAGACCTGTCCTCTGACTCAGCTGGATGGGTGCCAGATGGGTGCTTCTCCTACACTCTCTTCTCTTTAAAGTCTAATTTGTCGCCCCTGTGTTTATTCCATTGCTTGTTGCCGGCAAAATAGTCTCTTCGCCGAGGAAACATTTTTCCAAAGTTTCCACTTTTTCACATCGTTATTGCTCAATTTTACCGAAATATTTAAAGGATGATATCACTCGGGGTAATATCCAACAGTCCAGCAGTAAATGCTGTGTTCAAGTGATGTTCTTGTATATCTATAACATTTTATGTTGTGTCCTCCCCACTTATATCAATGAGGTCAGTATTAATACAACAGCATCTGGAACGTCAGCGTCTTCTTTTGATGAAACTCCTCCCAAAAGGATCTGATGGTCCGGAATGTGGGGGCACGCGCTGGGCCGCCTCGCCTCGCACCGACTCTAATAGAGGAGCCCGTAGTTGTTGTTGTGTTCACTCAGGAAACAGATGGGGAGAATGAGGAAGACAAAGATTCACCCAGCCTTTCATTTCGCGTCTGCAGGCCGATCCGACTGGCCTCGGAGGAGCTCGGTGCAGCGAGATGCCTGCGAGGGCGTGTTAGGTCTCCTGACCTAGAAAAATCCTCATGTCATGAATGGCTTCAGGCTGCAGGTGTGGCACTCTGTCATCTATTATCATTCAATCCAACACATGCAATGGTAGAAGGCAGTATATTGTGCAACGTCGTGTATTGCACACTTTTCCTTGTGTTTTTTTTGTTTTGCAGTCTGCTAATCGGTACTTTCTTGGCGTGACACATCAAAATATCGTAATAACTCCTTGTCAGGGAAGTTGGAGTTGCACAGACAGGACTCTTCTCGCTAATCCATTTATTTCTCCTCACTATGACTGTTAAGACATGTATTTATAAGCATGTCAGGCTTTCCAGCACGCACCCCCCTCTCACCTCCCTCCGGCCCCGGGGTGGTGTCGTGTCTGCTAACACTGGCGCTTAACTAATTTGGTTGGTCTGAGTAGCAGTTTGATTAGCGGAGCGCGTTAGCTTTGTGGACATACCACAGAGAGGAAGGGGGGCGCAGGCTGACACCAGTCTCTTGTGTCATAACAATGTTTTTTTGGGGGGGGATATGTCGAGATCCCAAAAGGTTGTGGTACTGAAATCAAACCAAATCAAGCTTCAAAAGCCACAGCAGGCTTCTGGATGAGCCGTGTGCCCTTTTTGAAATGTCAGTTTGAAGTCCATTTAAAGCCGCGCTGACCTCTGTACTCCGTCGCAGGAGAGAAAATGTAACCTGACCCTTTTTTTACTGCACTAAATCATCACCTCAGTGGCCAAAGCGGCTCGAGGGACGTAAGCCGACCTGCTGCCGAAGGCCAGCCGAGAAGTGGAAGGCCGACCTTTGACCTTTGTCTTTCTTCTGTGGGGTTAAAGGAGGAAAGTCCTCTGAGAACTAGCATGACATTTCCTCCCCAGACTTGGTATGAAACTTCCTGTAGTGTTCATTAGTTGCTTTCTTTCACAAAATGTTTTTAATATTCTGCTTTCCTCAGTTTTGCATCATTGTAAATTTGACATGTTTTGTTCCGTTTGTCGGACAAAAGAAGCATTTTTGAAACGTTAGACTGATGCCTGATTTTCCCGCGATGGACCGTCGCTCGGGACCCTGAGGGGGAATCCCAACGTGAGCGACCAAAAGGCCCGGCGGAGGAGTTACTTCCTGCTGCTGGAACCTCTTCCCGCCCGCCAGAGCCGCCGATCCAGTTCTGCGCTGCAATTATGCCGTCTGCTCCGTCTCTCCGAGGGACAGTTAAATCGCTCGAAGACGAAACTGTCATTCAAAAGGACATATTTCATAGTCACCATCGCGGTCTGATTCTAGTATTTCATTGTTTCGTTGGTCTGACTATTAGTCATTAGTTATAGTCAAGAGAAAAATGGGCAGAATCTTTAAAAAAAGAAAAATCACATTACGGCCTTGAGTCACCTGTTATGTCACTGTTCCCAAACCCCAAATATATTCAATTTACTAGGACATGTGACAAAAAATCCAGCATTATTTGGCATTTTTAACTAAAACAATTAATGTAGTATCAAAATATTTGATATTATTTTGATTATTGAATCAACTTTGTTTTTACTGCAGCTATATAGTGCATTTTAAAAAAATATATTTAGCAGAGGGATTTAACCTCAGTAGTTAAATAGGACCTTTGGTATAAAATCACTGTTTAGGTTTTAATGATTGTTTTGTTTATTTTGTGCTTCAGTTGCACGAAGGACTATTATAAATCATTGCATTTTCCGATTACCATTGAACCTAACACAGTGATTCTAACTCGCTGCTTGCCAAAATACACAATCTGTCAGCGTGTTAATCATTATATTCCTCGTCTATATATGTCCCGCTGCCTTTATATCCGCCCTAATCAGAAAGCCTCTGTTTCCATACTTTCTCATCTCCGCCTCTTATGCTGGGAGAGCAGATTATGGGAACCGCCACTTGTGTTGTGCTTAATGACACCATTTCCTCTTTGGCTTTTCTTCCGTTTATATTTGCACCTCCAACAACAAATGCACGAGTTCCCAGAGAGGATCCGACTCCGCAAAGCCTTAAATGCTGCACCTTCTGCAGGCAAAAGAGGCGGCGTCCCGACGGCGGTACAACGAGTGACACAAACCAGGTCACACGGCGACCGTAGTGATCTTGTTAAGCTTTGTGCGTCGTGGAGGCTCCACAGTATTTGCCGTCTCAAAGTACCTGAGCACACTCCCTGATTAACACACCGAGTACATATGATGAAAGTTGTGATCCTCTGAGGCCTCCTCATGATGATCCATCGCCTTCTTCAGAGCCAATAGAAAGGCTCGCTTTCGTATTTAGCGCATTTAAAGTGGTACCGATGTAGTTCCCCTGTTAGCTGTGTCTGCGCCGTCAGCTTCTTGGACAAACGAAAGGCTTTTGTTGGCTGACTTGAAGTCAAGAAATCCTCATTCATCTGTTTAAAAAGAGCCGTGGTTTGTTTCTGTAACTATTTCAATGATGCTGAGAAACGTGTGACTTTTTTGGCGACAAGACTCGACAAGTAAGCTGCTGCCCGCGATGAGCCCCGCCGGGTTGGGCGGCGATGTGCTCATTGTCAAGAAAAGAACGGCTGAGCCGGCACACGATGTCAAAGCGTTTCTTCTCGCTTGATGGTGCTTTGCACGAAGGGAAAAAACATCGAGACCTTTTTAGTTATTTGCCTGAGAAAACAAATGGTTTGACAGAGATTTAAATGATTCAATTAAACCAGCAGGTAAAGCCAGCAGAGTCCACGTGCCCGGTTAAACATCGGGCATTGCACCAGTGCTGTTTGTGTATCAATATTTGCTTCTCTTTGACAATATTTAACTCTCTCTCTCTCGGTTCCAGTGCTGAGCAGCCATTTATTCATCCGGGCCGCCAGTCAGGGTTCTCAGCGCCGGCTTTCTGTCAGAGAGGATTAACACTATCTGGTTAAGACTCTTTTCACTTGTGGACTCGGTCTTCCTCTGACCTTTTGACTCTTCCTTGCAGACCTTTTCTGTGTGTGGACGTCTAGGCTTTAATCCGCGGTTCGGGATGCCCGAGCGTTCCAAGTGACACAAAGGCTCAAGTTTGTTGATATCCAAACAAAATGTCTGTGGGTGTGAATCCACCTTCGTGTGGGCGTTCGTCATCGGAGGGAAGCGAGGTAAGAGAAGAGAAAATGGGAAGTTCCAGAGGGGCTCTGTAGTGTCTTTCTTTAAAGTGTTGGATCAATGAACACCGCTGCAGGCGCTCTGGCTGTACCCGCGTTTGAAGTTTTAAAAAGATACGATAAAGAGGACATCGTGCACAAAGGGTTTATTAATGTGTTCGACTGTCGCCGTCCCCGTGGGCACCAACGACTGAAGGCCGCTCCATAAATACACCAAATGTGTCCTCGTGGGAGAACGATTGACAAACACTGCTCATCTATAAAACCTTAATGTCTTTGTTCGTGTGTAGAAGTACTGGACTTGTGTGCACGGTGTTTAGGAGCGCTGCTGGGGGGGCAGTTACTGGGCTCTAGTTGGAACACGGGGGGGGGGGGGGTAAATAAGTAGGACGAAGGCCGTGCAGCAGATCAGACTTCAGAGTTTTGCTTTTCTCTGACCTCCAGGCAACCGTGTTCTCTATCAGCGACGAGATTATGAAGTCAAACAGACTTTTTCCCACGTTGAGTGACTCAAATGGAGGAGTTTCTTTCTTTCTACACCAGAAGGGCTCAAATGAGACCTCAATCAATGCATCCTGTCAAGTCCTCGTGCGGTTCTGCGGAGGACATCGTGCATCGGCTTAACTCCGCAGAAGATAACGGATTGTCACAGTCGTATAAAGAGAACCACCGCTGTGTTTTATTTATTTTTTTAGATCACGTCAACACAGGAAACTGGATCCCCCTGAGAGCGCACACAGGGCTCAAATCCCCGGACGCAAAGGTTTCCTTCAGCTAACCGAGGGACGCTGTCCATGTACGGAGATACATAAAGTGCCCGTGGGGTGACGGGAGTGTGGAAGACATTCATGCCGTTATTTGTGCCGCTTCTCGTTGTGAGTAAACACTGCAGGGAGGGACAGATTCCCGGCGGAGGGGGTCAGTAGACAGATGTTGGCGACGAGGTCGGCCAGAGAACGCTTTGCTCTGCTGAGTTGACCCTGAGCAAAACGCGCTGAGGAGCGAGCTGCGTATCTCCCAGGGTTCGTTGAGGACGCGGCCGTCGCTTTGTGTTTTATTGTGGCGGCTGCACGGCCACCTGGTTTCACCGGGTTCACGGTGTTGTGTGTTTGCATGCATGACACGTGAGAGACTTCTATTCCGATACTCATTCGTGTTGTTGAGAGAAACGATGGCGGGCGAGAAGCCTCTCGATGTCTTCGGGTCGTGTCCTGCCTCGTTGTAAATGTGTTGTCCTTGTGTCTTAGCAACCAGAGACGCACTAAACACAATTTAGCGCTTCCTCTCCTTCAGAGGGAATTAATATCCCGGAGTGTGAACGCGTTTTCCAAAGCAACTGCTCCACATTTATTTGGATGTCCGTCCCCCCGTTGAATGGCAGCGCGTGCTGCTGCCTCGTCCTCGCTCAGGTGCCAGTGCGGGTTCACTTCGGGAGAGTGACTCTACCTTTTCGTTTTCCGTGTTTCAGCTGCAGAGCCGGACGGTTCCCCCCCCCCCCGAGGAATAGTCTGTTAGTGTTGGACACAAATGTGTCTGAAATGAGTAACTGTTTGCTGCTCACCGGGGTGACGTGTCCCTTTATCGGTTCATGACCTATTTCTGCCGCCGCCGCCACGTGCCAAACACGCCACTCAATGAAAACTCGCTATCTTCATGGACCTTCCCGTCACAGGGAGCAGTGTGTTCTTTTCTAAACCACCCGCGGCCCGTTACACACACGCCGGAAAACAACCCAACATGTAAATGAATTCTTCGTTTCTCACACATTGTCTGTCACAGGTCACGGTTGCCTCGACCTTTTTATTTTGGTAAACTCAACCGACTCCTGAGTGTTGTTGCGTCTCATCCTCCTTGTTTCTCTTGTGCTTCGACAACAAAGGCTTGATGATCGTATCGTGTGTGTGTGTGTGTGTGTGTGTGTGTGTGTGTGTGTGTGTGTGTGTGTGTGTGTTTGTGTGTGCTCGGAGCGGAGGATGGAGGCGGGAGGGTCAGACTCCATCCTGGCTCTCTGCTGCCGGTGGGTGAAAGGGCACCGGCAGCTGCCAAAGCGCTAAAGTGTTTATTATTGGCTTACTCCAGCAATGGGATCAAGTTGGCATTGGTAGCGCCCGGCGGCCGCTTTTAAGATCGGTGCGGATGTTTTTGACCGGCGAAAACACAACTTGGATCTGTAAATCGGTAAATTCTGGCCCCAGCTCACAAATATAATTTATCTCGCTTCCGTTTCAGCTGAAATTCAACTGCGTAGAATGACGTGATGTTTCTGCGGAACGGGAAGCATTACATTAATGATTAACCTGAACGTACTTGCCAGCCTTGTTTATTTGCCTTGTGACTGGTTATCAGATGGAGAATCACTTATTACACGATTTACCGTGGTGTCACCGCATAAAGCGGTGCCTGCGAGGTGGAGGAGGTAGTGCGTCAGCGTTTATTAAGAGATTCAGGTTGCAGCCTCTTCAGAACGCAAATATTTGCTGTTTTTTCTGTCGGCCAGACAAACAACACTGTGTTTAGTTTGTGTGCGCGTTCAGTTGTGCGTTTGTGCCGCTGCCGGCAGTGCACACGCGGGTTTGTGGGAGCACGGATGTCTCGTATAGTCCGTTGCCGTGGAACAATGGGCCGCACAGTCGGGGAGCTCTGCTCCGTCGGGGGTCACGAGGATCTGATGTCACGGAGGTCTGTTTGTGGGCGGAGCCGAACGGCTGCATCGCATTGCGTTTTTTTTTTTTTTTTTTTTTACGATAGAAAACATCTGCTATTTGACTCTTCCTCTACTTCTTCTGAAGTCCCCCCCCTCCCTTACTCCCTCCCCCCCCTGCTGGGAATGTGTCCGGGATCATGGATCCTCCCGGAGAGAGAAGCAGAGCGAGTTTCCTTCCACACACCTCGGCGAGGGCCTCTTCCTCACCGCCGGGCGTTGTTGTCCTCCTCCTCTTTGACTGCGATGTGGGGAAACCTGGTTAATGTATTCATACACGCTCATATTCCTCGATGTAAGCTGATCTCTCTTGTTGTTGTTGTTGTTTTACTCTGAGTGGGACACCGGCTAAGAAGTTCCGCGGCGGGACGTAGAAAACGATTACAGCATTTAGTCTACCTCTAACTCTTTAAACTAGGATGTTCTGCGTAAATCCATTATGTTACACGCATCACAAACAAAAAGTGGAAGCGCGATTCTCTTCCGGCTCGAGTTACCCGATGAGTAAATTCACTGCGCCGCTCAAAGGCGACTTTTCTGGCCATGTTGCTCAACGCGTGCAGGAGTTGTGTTTTAATCTGAGGGGAAAAAAAGTGACGAAGCACGACTGTAATGTTCTTCTTCGAAATATGAACATTTTCTCTGACCGACGGGGCGGCGTGAGATCGTTTTTTTAAAAAAGTCCTTCAATCCAAGACCGTGATGTCGCCGTGTCTGAGAAGACCAGGCGCCGGTTCCACATTAACCACTGCAACAAATTCTGTGTAATTATGACACCTGTAATTACAGCACGTACAAAAACAAATACTTCAATGTATTTGTATATGTTTTTCTATCTCTTCCTCCAGTTAGACCACATCCTCTACCCTTCCTGCACCTACCTGAGGAAGTCCAGTAACCCGGAGCTCACTCACGGATTGAGTCCCGCCCTGAAGTTCCGGCGACAGCTCGGCGAGGACGGAGGGAGCGTTCGCAGACGGAGCCTCGGCGGGGGTCTCACGGGTAATGCTGATGCCGCACCTCTGGATGTTGCCGGCGTAATAATAACCAGTTAAATGAGAGCTTCAGTGGATCTGAAGTGTGATCACGTGAGAAAAGAAGAGTTCGTCTGTTCAGCAGCTCCTTGTGAAGTAAACGTTAAACGCGTTCATCTGTCAAGCGTTCGCCAAACCGGTTCACATAAAAACACGATGGATGAAACGAACGTCAAACTGAAGCACGAGTGAGATTGTTTTTCTTTCTTTGCGTTTTGATTTCTGGATTATTTAACTGGTTCCAGCTAGTTTGTGCTTGCAGCTGGAGCAGCGCTGGAGGACAAACGCTGGCCGGGTTTGAACGCGCTTTAACGGCACGAATGAAACGGGTTTAAAGGTTAAAGAGTTCAACAAATGTGTCTCTCAGCCCAGGCGGTCTTTACAAATGTTATTCCTGGTGGCTCGTATCACCCATAGCATGATTATTCTTATAATTCATAATTACAATACTATTGATTTATTATTCCAAGACATTAAACACAATGCTTGTGTTTTTAGGAATGAAGAGTTTTCTCTCTGTGAGGAGACAAAGTTTAAATAGTTTACAACCTTGAGGCAGAAACTTGTTCATTCCCTCTGCGGTTGAACCTGAGTGACGAAGGATCGCCGTTCAGATGAAACCCATCACGGAAAGGCGTTTGTTTATTTTCCGTGTCGGGTTTGAAACCGGGAATCCGCACGAGGCCGGGAACAGAGCGCTCCGACCTCACGGATACCTGCGTCTAATGTGAAAAATAAGACTCATCTCCTCCTCCTCCTGACGCCTTCCTTTCTGAGAAGTGTTGACTGGTACCCGGGAGGAGATTTCCTTTGTGCCAGGATGTGATTTCTTTAGTGAGCAAAGCTTTTGCCGGTAAGGAAGGAAGGAAGGAAGGAACCATCCTTTTCCCTCCTCATCCGGTTTGGTCTCTGCTCGATTCTCTTGATTCTGGTCCCGTGACCTCGGAGCAACGACCGCGGCACAAAGGCGCCGGGTTCAGGTGAAGAACTCAAACAGCGAGACGTTGTCACCAAACAAAACTCTCATTGGAGAGTCCGTGTCCGTGGATTTGTTAAGCGGCCTGCAAAAGCAAAAGCTTAACACGGCTGCTGGCGTGTGGCTTCTGGCCACGTGAGCTTGAGATGTTCACCTGCGTGCTGTGACTTCTCTCGCCTCCCTTTCGCCGTGCCAAAATAGTTAATCCTGCCCTCCGTCTCCCCGTCTGTTCGCTCAGACAGGAAATGGAAAATATACACTTAATTAAGGATGACAAGACTTCCACCTTATGACTTCGTGCCAGCGCTGCGTTGAGTTTTAACTCTTTGCCTCTGGGTTTTAGGATTAAAGAGGCCTCATGGAAGCGGCCTCTGGTGCCCTCTAGCTGACGGGTTTACACAGAATATTCTGCATTTGATTTCCGTCACTTGGGACTGATCTCTTAATGGGATTTTCCTCCCTTGGGCCTTGTTTAACCCCCCCGACATCCTGTGCTGCCTTCGTTGGCTTTAGCTTCGGACTCCCGGCATGTTCCAGCTCTGACATCTCACCTGTCACTCTGCAGGAAAGTACCTGCTGCTGCCCTCCGGCCACCAGCCGACGCAGACGGCGTGGCTCCCGTCACCGGACTCCTCCAACCTGCTGCGCATGCGTTCCATCCAACTGGGGAAGTCCGACCCCTCCCTCACCTCCAGCCTGGTGAGTGCTCGCCTGACCAGTAACGCCTCCGCCGCATTCTGCCTTCCTGTTACCAGAACTGCTCTTTCGTCTAAGCTACAAATTATGAATATTTTTGTGAACTGGAGAGGATGTTTGATCCGGAAATTATAAACCGTTCAAACACCGGTGTGAAATAAAAATATAAATCTTGCATGTGTTTAACTACATGCAAATGTAGCTCCAAACTATATTCCGTATACAATAAAAACACACGGCCACAGTCATTAAAGAATGACGTCGTGTTCAAACATTTACCAGCAGCTATCAAACATCCTTAAAACTATTTTATCGGATCAAAAGCACTGATGAGTCCTTTCTTTTTTATTTCTTTGTATTATTGCTGAGCTCTGGTTTGATTAATGACCTGTAAGCATCTGTCACAGGCTGCAGGTCTATAAAACACTTCATCTGAAAAATGCTTTTGCATCGCTGTCGCTCACGAGAAGCCACGTACGATTAAAAACCTTCAGGAAGGCAACTACTTCAGATTGGTGGATGCCCGTTCAGATCAATTAAGAGTAAAAAAACGAGGTAGGAAGGATAAAGGAGTCCGAGGGCGTCCTGCAGACGGGCGACCTTCAGCGCGCTCTCTCCTCTCGCAGGTGATCGATACCGGGATGTGCCGTCTCCTCATCTCGTGAGATGCAATCACAAGCAGCCGCTACGCTACGAGTCATTCCCCCCCGCGTGTGCTCGCTGTCAGATAGAGAAAAGGTCAGTGTGATAGAAAGCACGTGTGCATGAATACGGCCACAGTGTATTTAGGTAATTAACACCCTCAGTGACCCTTCGTGATCTGACCCAGAGAGCGTAAACTTGAGCCAGCGCCCTTCCTCAGGGGGCTCATGACATCATAGTGACCCTCTCTGCACCAACGCCGTAGTACCACCAACACAGGACGTGACGGGCGATATCTCCACTCTGTACACTGGGGGGCGCTGGTGCGTTTTGCAACCTCTGTAGCCTGGTGCTTTTTTTAAAAAGTCCCTTTTTGTTATTGTTGTTGTTTTTTGTTGCAGTTTCTCAGGCTGCTGCTCGACAGTAACAAACATCTGGATCGCCCCCTGGTGGCCGCTCGTTAGTTTAGGGAGCGCATGATTCTGTTTCCGTGCTCCGTCCCATTCCGCACCTCCCTTCCTCCATCCTTTACATTTTATTTGTCATTTTCAGTTTAATTGGCTGCTGAATTTGGCTTCTGTTCATTCATTTGAAATGAGGTTCATGTACGTTCAGGCTCTTTTTCCATTTACATATTTGTATTGTTTTTTTACTTTATATACTATGAAAGTGAACGTGTTTTTATACGATTGTGCAACGCAAGCACTTTTTAGAAAACCTGAGCTTAATTTAGTCCCTTTCATCCTTTTATAAAAGGGAATTACTCTTTTTTTTTATTTCATTCATTCAGTCACTAAAGAAGTAATAGTAATTTTTGGGTGTTGAATTTTGTGTTCAAGGTTATGTTGCTCAAAGCCGACAAAGGCAGTCGAATAATTTTATTCAGCAGTGGAATCTGAAAAAAGCCGCTTGGCCGTGACCGCGGTTTTATTGGTCTCACTGCTGCTTTGTTGAAGACTTTTTTCAAGGCTTCCTCATCGGTTTGTCCATCAGCTCGTCTATAAACCTGCAGAGAATTGTTTTTTAAATCATCCCTAACCCCGAGTTCACGTGGTTGAATGTGCCGCTTTGTTGAATTCACACTGCGAAACCCAGAAAAACACTATTTCCTCAATTGAGAAACTAGAGCTTTTTAGTTTGAGTTTTTGTTGGACAAATAAAAATGAATTGCTAATGTCGGCTGTACTGCTGTCATTCGTCAGATGTGTTTTCTTAAGGTATGAGGGGAAATTAAAAGAATACTATGGCACGTCACACTACCGACTAGTTTCACTATCAATCAATTACTTACCTGCTTAATATCTCCTCACTTAATCAATTACTCAACGGTCTATAATCCGACAAAGTGGTGCAGAGGCTCTTCATGCTTTATGTCCCATAAAAAGAAAACTATCTTTACGTTTAATAACCTGCAAACTGACATTTTACTTTGAAAAATGAGTTCAATTAAAGCTCAGACTACAGCATATATTTCCATGTCACTTGTTGATATCGTTGTGTAGTTAAATAACTACATCATCACGCCGCTGGGTGTGTGTGTGTGTGTGTGTGCTCGTCTCTCCTGACTGTGGATCAATACTCCTCCAGTGGAGATAAGACGCCATAATCCCGACGTCGGGCCTTTTGTGGCCCCTCGTTTGTCCCCCGGCGGAGATGTCCTTCACGATACCGCTCGCGTCCGAGCAGCCAGCGCGCTGCGGGTGTTTTTAATATCGGCCCAGCTGTTTATCATTATTCGGGTGGCGCTTATCGATCGGGTTGTCCGCCTTTTGTTCCCGAGGTCCCTTCGGGATTCCAGCTTTGTGTTGATTAAATTTGCCTCACAATTGCATCGTGGATGCATCAGCCTCACGCACCCCCCCCCCGGCCCTCCTCGCTTGTTACTGTAAACATAAGGGTGTGATATTCAAATGAAACTGTCACTCCAGATTAAGTAATTGCAGTTGAGACATTGACCCCCCCGTCATCCGCTCTGCTTGAGACACAATTCTTCCCGCAGTGGGGTTGAAATGTGACGGTGTTCTGCACAAAATGAAACATCATTTCCATTTCCTCAATGCTCACATTTGCATGTCTATTGCGATTTATAGAAAATTGTTAAGGGGGGAAAAAAAAGAAAAAACAGCGAGGAAGTGAGAGCGGTTTCGTTGGTTTGTGTCTTTTTCGCGGCGGTCGCCAAGGTCAGAGACTCTTTGTGGAAGGAATCCAGTCTCTCTTCCGTCCTGCAGGTCGCCCCTCTGAGTGACCCGGCGCCCTCTTATCGGACAATCAGCACTCGCTGCATGACCCCCCCCCCCACCCACCCCCCACAAAGCCAGAGGAAACGACCTCGGCTGCCCACCTGCCGGGAGGAAATGACTCGCTGGCGCCCTGCAGACTCGTCTCCTGAGGCTGCAAAGCCGCCACAGTGGTGCCACTTGTGTTCTTTATTCGTCTGCTATATTTTGTTCAAAAGAAGTAAAAACAACGTTGATATTTAAATGATTCGTAGTTTAGTCCATTGCTCTCATATCTTAAGATGCAAAAATGCATATTTTTCTGGTGAAACCAGTTGTGCAAAATCTAAAGATATTGAGTTTATGATTGGCTAAATTGGAGAAAAGCCACCGATCTGTTTTTCTGTGAAGACGGAAGTTTATTTTGAAATGAGCGTCTGCTCGGAGGAGACGCTGGAGGGAAAGCACCTGGAAAACGACGAGTACCATTTTGGCAAGATATCGAGGAGGCGTCCACCTCTAAAATAGATGATGGCCAGCATCTCCCCAACGTTGCCTCTAAATGCCTCTGCACACCTCAACGCATCGGCCCAACATCTGGTACAGATGCACAAGGAGACGAGACGATTTCATCCGTCAAAATCGGTCTTCCTCAAACTGGAAAAGCAAAAAAAACGCCTACTTTCATCAATCAATTAGTTTGATTATATTTATTTAAATATTTATTTAATTTAAATAATTGCAGATAAATTAGCTGCTTGTGTTCCTGCAGCTCCACATCTTCGTTTCGGTCCAACGTGGAGTCGAGTCAATTCTGTCTGTTGAACATGGATTCTTTTAATTCTCTCGGGTAATCGGAGGGCATTGTTCGACGTAGACGTCCGTAATCCTCGTCTTCCGAGGGCTTCAAGAAGAAAACACCGAGCCCGACAAGGAGAGCGGAGACCTGAGCCGTCTTATCGGCACAAATGAGTGTCGCTCCGTCAGCTCTCTGCTGAAACAGCTTTCAAAATTGAGACAAGTTGATGCGGGGCGGGAGGGGGGAGAGGAGGGGAGGGGGGGGCACCTGTCCGACGGTCCCGTGCATCTCCTCCAGTACGCCGTGAGTGTCTGTCATCTGCCAGCCGCACTCTCCCTTTTAGAGAAAGGAATCATTTGAGCTTGGCTGGAGATGAGGAGAATGGAAGGGGCCCACTTAATATTCACAGAGCAGAACCACAGTGAATGAGTGTGGGGGGAGACGCACGGACCGAAACAGAATGCAGAATTTGCAGGATGGAAATTGGCAAGCGAGGCACGAGGGAAACAACTTTTTTTTTTTTTTTTTTTTTTAGCCCACTGTGATAATTCATAGAAGGGTTCGGCGACGTTGAGTCGGAGTGTGAAGATGAAGAACTCCTCTCCGGGCAGCGTGAGGCAGTTGGAAGTAGAGGCGGGGTGGCGGTGTGCGTTGTGCGCTGTGTGCAGGGAGGTGCGGTGGGTTTCAGCATGATAATGACTCACTGTGGACTCACTGGTGCAAATTGTCCCGCGGGCACTTTGGGTGACATTTTCACAGCAGGTCTGAAAGGTCTCGGCCAGCAACATTTTTCATTCAAACAAACATGCCTGGCTTCAATTTTTAAAATACCCCCCGTCTCTTTCTACCGCTGTCTCGACCACATGCCCCCCCCCCCCCCCGGACCCCCACCCTCCCCCTCAGGTGTGTGATTCGTGGTGTTTCGTGTGACTTGTTGAGGTTCGCCCGCCTGCCGCACACAGGAAGCCTGAGTCATCGTTTGAGGCTCGAGCAGAACAATGCCGTGGAAGGATATCCTCTCACTTCCATGGTCACCTAAGGGGGGGGCAGAAAGCGTGGCTGCACAGAGAAATGAGTCTTGGGGCTCCCACTTGTCCCCCCCCCCCCTCCCGTCCTGTCCGTCGCTACGCTAAATTAGAACTGCCGATCTGCTCGCTCTCTCGCTCCATCACTCCTGAAGTTACAGAGGAGAGAGGAACAAGAGGAGGCGTCAGCTGACTGCCTCCTTCCAATCGGATAAGTTCTGATGGAAGTGTTTAGCAGCTGCTAAGATCAGGTTTTGCCCGAGGAAAGGGAGGGAGGGAGGCAAAGCGGGAGGGAGGGAGGGAGGGAAGGAAGGAGGCAGCGCGGGAGGCAGGAGGGAGGCAGTGCAGCATGGCTGTGTGCGCCGGTAGGGAGGCATGAGGAGTCGGGGGCTCTGTACAATGGACGAGTCGAGCATTCTGAGGAGACGGGGGCTACAGGTAGGAGATGAAATGCACCGTGTGTGTCTGTGTGTGTGTGTGTGTGCGTGAGAGCTGCAGTGGGACTTTGTGCCGCCCGGTGTGAATGCGTAGCTCGTGACGCTCTTGCATTTCTCTTCTAACAGAACACAGACTTTGAGACTCGCAGACGCACTAAAGGGGGATTATTTAATTAGTTAACCGGCTGAAAATGTTTTTCTGCTCACACGCGTTTTGTGGCCAAACGCTGTTACTTTCTCAGACGGCGTGCGGTTTGATTTGTGCGAGCTGGTCGGCAGGAGGGGTGGGAGATGTGTACTAATGGAGCGGGATGGATGCTTCTTTATGCAGATGATTTATCAGGACGGTGAAGCTCCTGATGGAGGTGTGATCTGAGTTATGGAGGAAGGACACAGTGTTCTAAAAGGGGAAATGTCTCGTATTCTGCACCACGTTGATCGTATCCACGCAGCAGGTGTGACAGTAATGTGTAAATTAGATTTATAATGTTGGTGGGTGCTGCTTAAAGGGGAAAACCTTTTATTTTTAACGCGCGTCACAAACTTCCTGTATGTTCCTTTAGTTCATCTCATCATGAACAAAGCTTTGAGTTTTGCTTGTTCGAGAACTCCTTTTGTTTCTCTGCAACCTGAAGCCCCGGCAACATTTCACCGTCGTGTTCACAGATTTAGTCAATACGTTCCTCTGTGATGATTGATCTCTCTGAAAATGAGAAATCAGGAAATCAAATTTATGCGCTTTGAATTATTTCTTTCTTTTTTTTGGTCTCTGGGAAAAACCAATAACTTTTGTTTCTTTCTTTTTTTGTTCTAATTGCATTCTTCAAAAGCTTACAAACAACAGTGCATTTTAAATCCTTTTCCTTCTATGGGACGCCGGCTCCCTCACAAGACTCCTTTCACGCCCCCCAACACGCAACATCTAAACCAGACGCAACCTTCGCTCCCGTTCAGGGGGAAACACGGAGCTACGTCGTCGGCCTCCGGTGTTTCCTCATTCATTCTCAGGAAGGGATGACGTCATCCAGCTTCAAGGGAGGGAGACGTTTCGCCGTCTCGCTGCTTCCCCGTCTCCGTCCAAAGCAACTAAATGAGTCCCCTTTTGAATGTGGTTGGTTAACCCGAATTGCACATTTTTGTCATGTGACAATTCCATTTCCCTGGAATTTATCTTCACGAAAAGAAAAGAACATTTAACCACCATTCATTTTGTTTTGGTTGAAGTCAAGCACCAGAAGAGGAAGCTTTACTGAGGCTTTACGGTGTTGATGCCGAAGGAATCTGACCGTGCAGAATTTATTTTTCGCACAACAGCCGAATAACCGGCGATACGCAGTCGTATTGTTTCCCTGCTCTGCTCGGTGTGGATGTCTGCAGCTTTTGTTTGCTTGTCTGGATGATTTGAGTCGACTACGTTGAGGGAATCGGATCTTGTTGATCACCGGGTTAAACCGGTCGTCCCCCGGCCCTCCGTTCAATTGTTAAGAGTGAGAATAGTATTTTTGGGGTTTGACGCCCTTTAAAACTCCTTTTGTTATTTGACAAAACAATCTTTCAAATATGTGTTTTTTTTTTACTTGCTGATCTAACAATCCGTATCTCTCATATATGAACGAATGAGTTTCTTTGTATGTCTCCTCGTTGTATGAAATGTGTTGGTTTCATATACGTGCAGCTGCTCTGTGCTTCAGACCTCCGTAATGAAAGGCAGAAAGTCGCTCTCCAAAGAGCCGTTTGTGGGACGAGGCGTGAGCCAGCTGGGGCCGATCGCCGCGTGAAGGCCGCCCATTTGCACGTGTTTGATCACTTTTACTGAGCAGGGCCCGTAAACCCTTAAAAGGGAAAAGGAAAGGCTCTCATCTTAAAGGGGGGGGGGGGGGGCGAGTGAATAGGACGACCTTTCTTTGAGCCGAAGGTAAGCGGGCTCTCTGCTGGAGGGTCCTTGTGCACAGCAGTGGGTCTCCTGCAGCTCCAGCAGCCCTCCATTGATGCCGGGCAGAGGGGTCAGATTATCAGATAAAAGCCCCCCAGGTGCTTACAGCAGCCCAACACATTGATAAGAAAAATAAGAAAAATGTGTGTTTGTTTTTTTTAGCTTGTGCACAATAGCGGCCTCTGGTGAGGAACCTCTGGTTTGCTCCTCTTTTATTATTAGAGATAATTATAGTGTCTATGTGCCATATTCTAGGAGGGACAAAGTACAATGGGACACCTCCCTGGAGACTGGCTTATATCAGGTTCCGTCTAATGGTTTTAAAAGCCGCTGTTAATCGCGTTTTTCACTTTTTGTAACACAACCTTCCGGCGACTACACACTCGGGTGGCTTCTGCTCAAACTGGACCGAAGTCTTATTGGTTATTGGAGGGTTTCCCCTTTTGGAGGATCCCACACGGAGCTGCTTGTGTTGGACACCTAACGATGACGAATGGACTCGCGTAGCAGAAAGCACTTTGAATCCGTAGTCATTAGAGGAAGATCGCAGCTGTGGATATCATCGTCCATTTATTCAATCTTCAGGAGTTAATTATCAGGGACGTTAAAAATGAGATGTCATCAAATTAAGCGGGACATTAATCCCCCCCGACGGCTCCTCACGCGGTGGATTAAGTCTTTGCGACACAGAAACATCTTCCAGCTGCGAGGATAAACGAGAGGCCGAAGTCGACGTGTTTCGGGCGGGAGACGTCGCTTCAGAGAGACGGCAGCTCTGCATCTCCGCTCACGTGTTCATCCGCTCACGTTCTCCGTGAGCTTCCTGACAAGCAGCTCGATCGATCGACTCCTGATCCACCGAGTAGATGCAGCTGAGATTTAATTTCAAGTTAAATCTTTAATTAAGATCTTGTTTTCATTTTCAATGTCCGGTTAGTTTTCATAATATTTAGTCCACATGTTTTTTTACTTTGGTATTACGTCCATCCATAGATGCTGGATGCTGGTGATTAGATTGGTGGTAATCACGTGATCGGATGATGTCATACCAGGCGTCGGTTTGATGTAGGAAAAATAAATCGAAGGGAATAATTAATGAACCATTACACAGGCCGCGTGGAGACGAGACGCTGTTGCTAGAAGCCAGTAATTGACATTTAACCCGCGGAACAGTGAAGCATCTCGTTTGTCGCGTCAGGACGCTTTGTTCTCCTGGCGGCTTTCACGTGTCGCCGGTCTGACAGCTTTTCCACCTCTTCAGGATCATAAAAATGTACTGGAACAACTTATTACGATGAGCATCATGCAGAAAAACACACATGAGCGCTGTTGTTTAAATCTCAGGTGGGATAAAAAGGTTTTGCGTGGATGTCACCAGTGACCTATAACCTTTTGTGTTTGGGTTTAAACTCGAATTAATCAGACAATAATGCAGCTGTTTTGAAAAAATTTAAATTCCTGCAGTGGAGGCCGCTCCACACAGGACGCCTCCCTCAACGAAACGCCCCGTGATCAAATCAGTGGGATTCGTGGTCTCAACACAAAACAATCGAAAGTGAAAACGGACCCAGAGATCAGAGATGTTGAGAAGCTCTGAGGGCTTTGGGTTCGTTTCACACTGCTCGTAGACACGACGTGAACTGTTGTGAGCAACGCTGAAGTCGCTCCCTCGTCTTTTGCGATTTCATTCGTCCGCTTTCGACGGGGAAAGTGCTCCCGATTGAATTTGTCACTTTGCTTTTCCTGCGAAGCGCGCGGCATTATCGTCTTCGGTAAGAAGCTTGTGAGCGCGCGTAATCCCTCACCAAATGAACGAGGGCTTTGTTGGACCTTTTTCCTTTTTAATTACCTCCTTTACACACAGGAAACACGGACCTCCAACGGCAAAATAAAGTGTCTTTCTTCCCTCGGTGATTGTGAAGGTGTACTCAAACTCGACTGCGGTTTCCTTTGTACTTATATCTCTTTTCTTCTCGTTCGCAGAAGGAGCTGAGTCTTCCTCGAAGAGGCAGCTTGTAAGTACCCAGATGTTTGTCACACGTAGACATCTGCTTTCCGCTCAGCCGCGACATGCGTCGCGCTACTAATGAAGACGAGTCAGCTGACGTGAAGCAGCATGAATCAAAGCATTCTGTCGCAGGGCTGCGTGAGATGAACACGATGTAATCAAATGTATGCTCGCAGATGGTTCCCTGTGAACGCCACTGAAATGAGACGTTCTGATCAAATGTTTCCCTTTTAATATGCAGCGTTAATGTGCAGCGTATTGGGACTCGTCTTTGGGCGCTGGATCAGAAGTGAAGGCGTGCGCCGGGTGTTCAGATTCAGAGACCATGGCTGATGCGCTGATGATCAATCATTCACACGCAAATATGGAAACGCTCGCGGCTGAAAACGATGCGAATACTGTTTTAGTTTGTATTCTTGAATGGAAGAGATTGAGATCCTGTATTCCATTTCTTCCTCCTGTGTAATGAACATATGAGGGGAACAAAGATCCGGAACAAGTGGATTGGATGAATACTTTTCCAGCCAAAATTCAAACCGACCACCTCTGTGAATTTTGCATGAATCCCACATGTGATCTTTCTTTATTTACTGATTACCACCTCGAGGGGCGGGAGGTCGTAATAACGTATTCACAACTATGATTAATTCATGTTTTCTTCACAATCTCTTTCCTTTGTAAACACCCTGGAGGGACCAGCGGCCCTCTGGGAGCTTTAAACCCACCTAAATGTTCCTCGCCTGTGATATTTCTTCAGCATCTTTGATAGATTGAAATACGTTTGTCACACACACACACACACACACACACACACACACACACACGCATCAGGAGTCATCTCGGCTTTCATCAGGTACATTAAAGAGGATGAAAAGCATGTGCTCTTCGCACGGTGGAGGCAGAATAGAGACATCCTGGATATTGATTTTTGCTTTAGTTTGACATGGAGAAGGGTTTACCTCTGACACTCCGTGCGGCCCCCTGTGGTGAGGAGCCGCGGGGGGGCCGCAGGGGGCACCCGGTGTGATGGAGGTAAGCAATTTCCGACGGGCTGCGGTGAGATCACCGGCCGCTCCGGGTTGTATTTAAAAGCGCCGGGGGCTCCGGAGACCTTGGTAACCATAGCGACGGTGTTTCGATATGACAAAGCGTGTTAGTTTATTTGTTTGGGAATAATTTTTCACTTTTTTTCTTGAGGTTGAAGGAAAAAGGACTTGACTCTCGAAGCAGAGTTTCTGGTGTCAAAATGAACTCTTCACACCTCTGGAATTTTTTAATTTCTATTCCACGGCCATATGGACGAGTTGTGTCGTTGTTGTCAAAGTGAGTCACTCCAGTTGTGCGACGAATGGAACTTATTCTCAGGCCGACCTTAATAACTGGGAGTCTTTTCCCTGGTCCAATAAAATTAATTTGCATCTAAAGGAGCTCTCGTATAGAGTTGTTGACCATTTTCGTTGGACCAATGCTGCCGTGCAGCTTTCCCAGCATGCAACAGGGTGTCGGAGGGGAATAGTCGACCATAGATTCCGTTGGCCATCTTTTACAAATTGGACTCAGTTGAATTAAAAGCACATTTTGTTTCACTAATTCTTATCTGTTAGCCACATTTCTGCAACATTTAACTGCAAGTTTTTAATGTTTAAATTCGACACTAGAGCCTCATATTTGCAACGATAGTTATATATTATTATAGGCGTTTTTTTCCGCCTCTTAAATACATTCCTCAGGAAACATTTATTACCAAAGTATGTTGGACATAAAAGGAATTGGAACATGGCTGTTTGTGCTTAACATTGGACAACAGGACAAGTAGCCCAGCGCAGGAAAAATACACGTTTAATTGACTAATTTACGGTTTAAATCTACAGTATTAAAAGCCAAGCCGCTATTACCACAAGAATACAAAGCTCTCATCATCTCCTGCAGCCTGTGCTTTCGTAATGAGATACTTTCCTATTATGCGTCATCAATGTATTTGTTCTCGGAGTGTGAACTCCGTTCAACAAGAAGAAGCGTCTCGAGCGTCTGTGGCTCCTTCAGAGGTGTAAATGTGAGTGAGAAGGTTTCTAGTGACGAGCAACAATGTTATTGTGTATTATTATTATTATTATTATTATTATCATCATTACCGTCGTGATTCACTGAGATGAGTCATTGACTCATTTTTGACTCCTGCAGCAATAACTGGATGAAATGGCTCTTGTGGGGGTCGGGGGGGGCAGAGTGGGGGGGCGGCTCTGGAGTCTCTTAAATCCAAGGACACTCTGCTGCGTCATCGTACTTCATGACCTCCGGGTCACGCAAACACGGCCGCGCTCCCGCTTCCCTTTTTAAGGTTAAATGTCATTGAATTTCCTGACTCCTTCCCTGCGTGTGACTGGCGTGGAGTGACAGCTAGTGGCGCATTATGTTCTCCTCCCCGAGATGACATCATCCGCGAGCTCGTGGCGACGTTGCATCGCGTTAGCATCCTGTCAACGTGACTGTGTGGTAAGGCTGGCGGGGGGGGGAGGGGGGACACGGTGTAGATTTTATTCATTGCGTTCATTTCTGCGACGCAGCCGGGGCAGGGGGGAGGGGCAGGGGGAGGGGCTTGCCCTGCCTCCATGCTCTCCGCCGGCTGCTGAGCATCTCATTTGACAGCTTCAAGGTGGGAAGCAGAAAAAAGACCCAAAACAAGAACCCGAGCCCCCCTGCTCTGTTTTCACCCCCCCGCCCTCCCTTTCTGTAGGGGGAGAGAAAACCCAATCCGTCTCATCGCAGTGTGGTGCTGGGTTTGCCTCCTTGTCAGTGCAGGGGGGGGGGAGGGATGGGAGGGATGGGAGGCAGGCGGGCAGCGTGAACGCATATCATGACCACAATAGAGCAGACGAGCACAGTTCAGCCATGAAAGCCCAGCGGGAGAGGCTGAGAATTCCAGGGCTGACGCTAGAGTGAGTATTTCCCTCCGTTATGCTACCGGGGGGGAGAAGCTCCCCCGCGGTCCTGAGCTTTGTCTCTGTGACATGTTTGTGTGTCTTTCACTGTTGCTTGTGTGGCGTTAGCATTAGCAGCATTAGCAGCATCTGCAGCATCTGCAGCATCAGCAGCAGGAAGTGTAATGTGGTAACGGGGGCTTACGTGTGTGTGTGCGGGTGCTTGTTCAGCGTTTGTTTTTGTGCGTGTGTGTGTGCGTCTGTGTCTGTGCGTGTGTGTGTGTGTGTTGTCTGTGTGTTTTGAGACAGACAGCCAGATAACGTGTCACGCAACGGAGTGCCGCAACTGCACAACATGCTTTCTCTGCTGGCGTGACACACTTGTATTTACTGCATACGAAGGAGACACACACACACACACCTGTGATGCGTGTTGGATGTGATCGTAAAGGCAGTGAATCATTGTGTGTTTACTCTGCAGATTTCCTGATCCGTCGTTTGTTGGCCTTGAGGATTCCTTTTTATCTATTTAGTTTTTTTTCATGGTTCCCTTTACGACTTGATCGATTTGCTTCAAATCCATTATTTTTGCGATACAGATTTTATTCGATTTATCCGAAAATATTTTTCTGATTGTCAACATATTGAATGAAAAGACCAAAACCAACAGCGTGTGAGTCCCCCAGTACTTCCTGACCCCTCACCCGTAACCCCATCGGTTCCTACTACAGACATTTACCCTCATGTATCTGTAGAAAGACACATGGAGCTCTTTGTTGCAGAGAAATAACATAGATTATCCTTTGGTTAAAGATAATGTACTCCTTCCTTTTTTAAGATGCATTCATAGTTTGTTTGGGTTTTTAAAACAGGAGAAATGTAAAAAAGATTTATCCCTAAAATGGTGTCATCCGTACTGCATCTGCAGTAAAAGTTACTCACCTCTACGTGACCTCCTGCTCTGCAGTGCCACTGTTCAGAAAGGGGCTCGATCCATGACATCACACGTTAAAGGGAAAGTCTCTCTGTGAGTCAGATGCGTCCGACCTTAAAACAACTACACGCAACGTGCGTTTAACCTTAATCTGCAGCCTCTTGGATCGAAGCATCTCCGATCTCCACCTCCTGGAACCTGCTCTTTAAACACAATGTAGTGTTCACCCGGCAGGGAGCCTCATGCTGTGTGTGTGTGTGTGTCGGGGGGGGTACTGTCATGTGTGATAAAAGAACAACTATTCACTTCCCTCCATTTAACTTGCAGCCTGACTCCCCGAAGCTCGAGCCCCACTCCCACTAGCCCCTGCAGCCCGTGCAGCCCGCTGCACGCGTTCCATTTCTGGAGGTAAGCGAGCGCGCATGTGATGTCTGTGAAAAGGTCCGTGCACGTTTTGACTCCCTCTAGACAACGTGCACCACAAGGCCCCCCCCCCCACCCCCACCCCACCCTCCTAAAATCATTGAGACGACATTGAAAGAGGAAGACTCTGGTTATATAACGTTGATAGTGTCCCCCCGCCCTCCCTCCTTCCCCCATCTTGCCGCTCTCTGTTCTGAGGTTTATGCTCCTCTTTCATGTGCTAAGTAGGATTTGTGGCATTTTCAATACATCAAAGTGAAGAACGTCTGAATCCTTCGTGTATTGAAAACGGGAATCGCTGTTTTTTTGTTTTTTTTTCGAAGCCCTGTGGCTTATGATGCGTCCATTTTGTGGTTAGTATTTAAAAAAAATCTGTGTGGATCTTGTTATTTTTGACTTCGATAGCGCGTTCTCCTCTCGGGCTCCACTGGTCACCCACCATGAGGCTCCGTGTGTCTTTGCTCTGTCAGGACGTCACTCGGGTTCGACCCGTCTGGCCTTGCTGCTACTTTATATTTGTTGGGGGCAAATGGATATAAAGACTCTTGTCTGCTTCATCTCTGCGATCATAGTCAGAGGAAGAACTAATGCATATTCGCGTTACTGTTTAAGGTGGACGGGTTTGCTGATGGGTGCTTGGTCACACGTGTGCTTGCACGTCTCTGATTGGCCGACAGGGCGGCGGTGTGCAAGTTTCTCACACGTGTTCAAAGAGGAGCAGTTTTCTGCGTAAACACGTCGTGCTGCACAGGCTGCAAGTGAATGTCTTTGCGAAGCGAAACTGTCATCGTTGCCGTTTGATTATTATTCTCGTCTTTTACGTCAGACTCGGATGTAGGAACCCCAGCTTTGTTGCTGCTGGGGGGCCGTCCGGCCCGTCGGCCTCGATCGCCTCCCCCCCTCCCGCTCCTCGCCGCCCCGCGCGGGTTTGACTTTGATCCTTCCGGAGCGCCGTCTCTTATGTAGAACGCGGAAACGGAGCAGAGCCATAATTAGCGGGGAGGCAGTCACGCCGGCCTGTGGGGAGGCGAGCTGGGAGGGAACGCAGGCTGAGAGGCGCCCGTCATGGTTCCTCCTCTAGTTCCCCTCCACTTGCTAAGTGAAGGGACCGATCTGCAGCCGTCATCATACTCGGTGGTCTGTTTGTCTTCATCGTGTCACATGACCGCCCCATGTGACACAATGCCATTAATGGTTTTGGTGCATAAAAGGTCAGAAAATAGAAATAAGTCATTCAGTTCATGAACAAAAGAGATAAAGAAAGCTAGTATTTTTAAAATGCTGTTATTCTTCCATAATGTTGCCAGTTGATTTTCTGTCAAATGACTTGATTGACAGGGCGGTGAACAGACGGGGTCATGATGACCTTTTTTTTTTTTTTTTCTGTGAGTTGCGGTTTGTTCTTATTTGCTCACATGAGGTGGAATTTGCGAGAAAGTAACATGTAAGCTTCACTCCGTGGATCATGTGATTACAACAACCTCACACACACACACACACACACACACACACACGGAGGCGCTCTTATAGCAGCTGTTGGGTTCTGTTGTTGCAGCAGAGCCGGGTGCTGAACTTCGCTCCCTCCCTGAGGGATGTGAGCAGGTAGTCGCCGCCCTTTGTGCTCGTGGCGGTTTGGCTTGTTATTTCGTGACGGCCACTGCGGAGAATTTGTCGCCGCGCTGTCTGCTCTCCCGGAGGCCGCTTCGCCCGGCCGCCTCCGAAACTCTCACGTACACGCGGGACTCGCAAGTCGAATTCATCACCGGACTGACAAAACTCCCGACTTTTGAGTTCACCTCCTCGGACCTTTTTTTTTCCTCATTTTCTACGTACTCACCACGAGTACGTGGATTTGGTTGCAGGGCGTAAGCGAGGATTTGTCGGCGCGAGTCCGAGGACCAAAGGTGAGGTCAAGGTGAGGCCGCCATCGAGCGGAGGAAGCCGGTACCTCTCAGCCCTCCCCGTGTGAAAAGCATCTCCACTTCAAATGTGTCCCGCTGCGAACGCTGACCCACCCGAAAACCTCCGGAGGGGAGCCGGCCTGCACGGCGCTGCAAGTGCACGGCGGCATGTGCCGACGACGCAGCACCGCCGCTGCCTCGCATCCCCCCTCCCACTCCCACTCCCCCCGCCCAGGATGCCGAGTGGTAGATGCCGGTTGCATGACGCGAGGCATGTTGAGCAGGGCGAGCATCTGGGACGTGGAGCAGAGAGAGAGAGGAGGGAAAACAAAAGGTCCGCCGGTGTTTGGTGCCGTTTCCCTCGCAACGGTTGACGCCTGACCTGGATCCCTCGCGCACGCACGCGCGCAGAGCGTGTGCATCGCCGGATCCTCCCTGGATTACTTCTCATGGAGGACGGAGGAGGACAGGGCGTCCTCTCTGCCCGTGCTCTCATGCCGCCGCCGCCGCAGAGCGACTCGCGGGACGGCCCCGGAGGTCGCGTCGCCCCGAACCCCCCCGAAAGCCGCCCTTTCTCCTCGCCGGGTCCCCCGAGGCCCCCTTTCCACCTGCCGCTCCGGCGGGACTCGGACGCCGTGTCCGACTCGGGCCCGTGGACCGTGCTGTCCAACTTTGACGTGCCGCATTTCTTCAGCGGGGCCCGTCTGCGCCGGTCCAAGAGGTAACCTTCAAACGCGCCTCGGCACATCATCTTTTGCAGTGTCGTGTGTTGCTTCATCTGGGGAAGTAGTTTATTGTCCCGCCAAACAGTTGAGTGGACGGGCGCCGTTTCCCCCGCGTGTGCACATCGTGCCAGAAGCTCGTGTGGTGTTCGTGGTCCCTCGCAGCTCACGGTCGAGGTCGTCCCACGTTCCTCGCGCAGGACGTGTGCATTAATTACAGGCTGGAAAGCGGAAACTCTTTCCGTTGCTGATTGTCGTTTCTGTCCCACGCTTTGAAATGTGAACGTTTCGTAACGCGCTTTTCCCCCTTTTGGACGTTGCCAAGTGAAGAATGTCTCTTCGGTGTGTTTGGCTACTGGTTTCACAGCTAATCCACTTGATCCCAGTTTCCCTCTGTGTGGTTTCTGTGAAGCCGATATAATATTTATCTTTAATCCCTGTCCTGACCCATTTTAAAGGGAAAACAGCTTAACATGAAATGCTGCCTGTTTTTTAGACACACACACATTTCTTTGCCCGCTGTCACATTTAGTGGATCTTAAACTGAAGTCTCGTGCTGTAAAAATCCCTGAGATCAGATCCCTGTTTTTCTGCTGTGTGCTTGTGAATACATTAACGTGATACTTCATTAAATGTCACAGCTGTTGACAGCAGCTGTAAAGTTTTATTAAAGTTTTCCAGTTTTTCCTCCTCAAGTCATCTGCACGTTGACCACATTGTACATCTCTTTGAGTTCTGATCAGACTGTTCTGATATAAGCTCACGATATCCAGTTTGAATGCAGCTGACACATCTGTATGCATCAAAAAGAAGATGCAATAAATTGCCAGATGTAGGAACCACTGACCATTCGGGTTGAATATGCAACGCACTTAATGTAAAATATCTAATCTCCTGAAAAGCTGTGTGTAACTGTACGTCCTCAGATGTAGAGAAGCTTGTTTTTAGATACTATTAATAGCCTCGGTGTCACATGCGTCATTTTGAATTTGGGTTTGTCAGCAGTGATTTATGTGGCATCGCGCTTTGTCAGCTCACCTGACAGCTCTGACAAGGGAGCAAAACTCACAGAAGTGGAAAAAGATGAATCATGGCTTTCTTTTTTTTTTTTTTTTTTTGTTGGCGCAGGTCAGGATCAGTCATTCGTCTCATTGTTGTAAATCAAAGGCCTTTATCTATTTTTACCTCTTCCCAGAACCAAAATAAGCGAGCGAGCCGAAGTCTTAAGTCGTTTTTGACAGATTTGGATTACTTTGTAACAATAGAAGAGTTCCAGTAATTCAGGTCAGTGTAGGAATGAGATTAATGCAAAGTAAAAACGAGTTATACGTTTTATTCGTTTCTCTAACTTCGATGGACACCTTTTTGGACGGGCCGGGCAGCCGCGTGGCATCCTCTCCGGGCCGAAATCCTCCGGTGAGAGCGTATAAATAGATGTTGTTAAATGTGATCCTCTTTGACTGAGCACCTGTGTGCCAGATATTATTCGCTCCCGCGCCGTCGCGATTAATGATCCGCGCTCCTGCAGGTCAACCCTCGAAAAGCACTCATGCAAACAAGATTAGATGGGATTTAAGTCTAAATTAGGGGTTTGTCCTGCAGGTTTAACGGCGCCGGTGGTATTTAATGGCCCGGGAACATGAATAATAGATGGACTCTCGCATGAGGACCAGCGTCTGTCAGGTGTTTAATCAAAAACGCTTCTCCTAAAGCTCGAACCGAAATCTACTCATTTGCTCAGAAGGACGCTTGGTGTTGACTGGGAGATGTTTTTTTGCTTCTGATTATTATAATAATAATAATAATCTCATCTCACTTTATAATAATTCCTCTTTCGGGCCGATTTGTAATTCAGGAATCGGTCGCTGCTTCCTTGAATATCAAAAACAGCTGAAATCTTCCCTGCAGCTTTGAACATTTTTAAAAGTCTGCGTCTTCCAAATGCGTAATCGTAAGAGCACCGAACCACGAGAGCCACGGATTCATATTCGAATTTGCCTCTGAACATTTGTTCCATTCATCATTGGACTTTAGCGCGTGGCTAATTGCTGGACCATTAAGCAGGAGCAAGGCCTCTTCCTCTTCATAAATCCGGACTCATCGTTCAAACGATGCATCAAATTAGCGGGAAATTACCCGTAGTTAATCTACACCGACAGGGGCGCCCAAATCTCCCACACGATCAATCAGAATTAGTTAACAGGATTGTGCTGTTTAAAGCGAGCTGGTAAGTAATGTGAAACGATATCTCAACTTGGAGAGAGTCAGTCCATCCAGAGCCCCCCGGATACACGACTTCCAACGTCATGAGAGCCCCTGATTCTTTTATCCATAATGTTAATGCTTAATTAATGATCGGATACAGGGCTCGACCTCACTGGGGACTAAAGCTCCAAAAACGAAACAAACGATTTATGAAAAATGGAACATTCTGATGGCTGTTGTGTCCATCGAGGTCTTTGGCTTCGGTGTTATTCCATCAAATGCTGCAGTGAAATCCAGGAGCTTCACTGTTCAAACACTGACAGAAGATGTGTTTTTAGCACTGGGCGTTATTAACATTGTACATATCCAGTTGTAAATGGTTCAGCTCTCTAAAGACGTTATGTAACAGGACGTCATCGAGTCTCTGACCTTGAAGCGAATTCATGTTGTTCAAGCGTCATGTGTTCCCACACGGCCTCTAATATAAAGATATAAAGACTAATCGGGACGTTGAACACCGGAGCTGCTTTTTAAAAATGTTTATTCATTTTTTACTGTAAAATTGTTCCTTTTCCCCTCAAGGTTAAAAACTGGGTTTTGAGTCACATGTTGTTGATCCCAGTGGACCCTCGTGAGCCACAGTCCTCCTTTAACCTCATCAACCAACTTAAAAACATCCGGAATGCTGCTTTATTTTGGTGTGCCGTCTCTTTTCGTGACCGTGTAGATATTATCTGATTATAATCTGAAACTACGGTGGAATAATTGCATTCATTAACAAACAGAAGTTTCTCCTTTCAATAATAATAATAACAATTTAATTATTTTTCATTATTACAAATATTTTTTATTGAATTTATTTTTGAAAACTTTTTATTTCCACATTTTTTTTAAATGTTATTATACATTTTGGGATGATTATTCCATTGGTTTCCTCAAAACATAATTTTTTTATTATCGCAGAAAATACGACCTGTAGTAAACAAAGTTTCTGCCTTGCCTCATTTCACTATTATTCTCTTCATTATTATTCATTTAGAATTTTCTCTTTAATTTGCTTTTTTTGTGACAACCTCTTATCCCATTGGTTCCCTCGGAGCATTTAATATTGAATTTATTTTTTCCTTGGCTTATTCCCGTAGTGACCATAACATGTTTCTACCTTCCCTCCCTGTCGTCGATGGCGGCGTGACCAGTAGCTCCGTCCTGACTAATCTTTGCCTCCCTGGTTTCACAGCTGCAGAAACCAGCAACAGGAAAAGCCTGATAGGAAGCGCTCAGTCCTCAGGTCTCCCACGACCTCACTCCCCCCTCTCATCTCTCACAGGTAAGTCTGACAGGCAACAGTATTAACTCGGAGACGCCGTACCCCCTCTCAGTCGGCTTGGGGAGGAGTTCTCCAGGAAGGTAATTCGCGGGGTGAGGGTGGGAGGAAATGCACCGGGGGCAGAGGGGAGGGGAGGCCTCACTTGCCACAGGGCGTTTTTTATTTCCTGGCATTGGTCAGCAGAGAGTCGCTCCCGGCGCTGAACTTTGAGCTCGGCCTTTTTTGAGATGGAATCCGAAAAGCACGACGTCGTTTGCAACGAACGTGTTCGTTGCCGGGACGACCTCACGCCGGGGCGCCGCCGCGTTGTCGGTACCAGAGGTAAGAGAAACATCCTGTCGGTTCCGTTTTCACGGCAGGCGGAGGACTGACAACACGCTGTCACAGTAATTAAGGAGGTTTTGTTTCTGGTCCCTGTAATCTCAGCGGTTCAAAACCTAATTTCATAAACTACCTCCTCGCCAACCTTTTTGGTTGTTGTTCTCTCAGACGATAAACGGTGTGTAGATGAAATGTCCTCCGGTGAGGAGGTGTTGTCCTTCCAGTGTTGATGTGCTGCTACAACCATCCATCTGAAGGGAGGGTCTCCTGCATGTGGACTGGAGGAACCGATGGAGACACTTCTCTCTTTAGGAAGTGATCCTCTTCAGACCGGCTTTAGATGACTCATTGAGTGTTTTTACAAGCAAAAATCCTTCATTTATAAAATGGGACAAATGTAAACACATTTATATAATTGAGTAATGATGCACTTTGCCGGCTCGCCAACGAGAGGTCGCCACGAGGTCTGAAGCAGATGAAGTGGCTCCTTCCTTCATGTCTCCATCGCTGATCCTTTTTATTGAGCTGCTCTTCTTTGGAATAAAATCCCTGAGAAAATCTGTAGAGGCCGACTTGTCATTTTCAAATCTGGGTTTAAAATTGAACTTTTTTTGGCCTATTCGGCGGCAGAATTAATCCCTCGGTAATCGTGATCACGACTCTCGAGACCCACTATTAAGTGAACATGTTGGACATTTGAATGCTGATTAAAGTTCATAGTAAACTCCTAAAGAAACAAACCGGCCTCCAGATGTTCAACCTTCAACAGATCTTAACAAGTCACCTAAATTCTAACTTTACTCAGCAAATAAACTTTTGCTTCCTTATTGAAGCTCTGGTCTTATATTAATACTCGTGGCCGTATCTATGGAATCCTGCCTGTGTGGATGTTTCGTCATTAGTGTCATTTGTTTCTAATGTCTGGATTGTGTAATGAATGAATGGTTGCGTTTCTATAGCAACATCATGGCAGTTTAGATTTTTAAAAACATCAGGGGTCCCACCAGTTTGATCTTTGTGTTTTTCTTGCAGGAACGAGCCCCCAGGACAGTCCCAGAAACTTCTCCCCGAGCGCCTCGGCTCATTTCTCTTTTGCACGAAGGTATTCACTGCGTTCAAAGCTGTAGCCATCTAACAGCGTCAGACACGTAGACCACCACCAGCCGTGATTTTAGCTTAATTCTATTCCGCTTTCAAAGATGGCCTCCACGTGTCACTTGTTTTACTCCATCTCTGGAGACGATATCAAGTAACGATGTCCTCTTGTTATAATCCACAGTCATTGCCACAGAGCCGACAGGTAACGCCACGTTAGGCACCTTTTCATAACCACACATCGTTTATTTATCACAAACCCCCCCGGGTCATAAGTTTGTCTCTGACGTTTCGGTTCCACGTTCACTTACTGTTTTCGCTTGATTTCATTTTCAACAATAGCAAAGAAAGTTCCCCATTCATCTAAAACGATGTGATCACCAGGACTGTTTTTATGTCAGACTATTTCACGAATACCTCTCAGCGGCCGGCGTCGTAATTCTGTGTAATGTGAGTGTCTGCGGTCGACAGGACTGACGGTCGCCGCTGGTCGTTGGCCTCCCTCCCCTCCTCCGGATATGGAACCAACACGCCCAGCTCCACCGTCTCAGTAAGCGCCGAACCTCTCAAGTCCCCCGTGTCCTAAAATGTCAAAGAAATGCGTAAACAATTTTTAAATTTAAGATATAAATATGCAGCTGTGCACACCAGATGTTAGTCATTTATATTCATTGGCTAATGGGACAACCTGCCACATGTGAACACATGAAAAGACACAGCACACGTTTCCTTTTTAACTATCAAATACAGACAGATTTATTTATTTATCCTTCCACGAAACCAAAATATGCAGATATCGCACAGCTGAGTAAATGTACCAGAAAGAGGCGTAAGCTGGATAATTTTGTGTGTTGTTATGGCATATTTTGATTAAAACAATATATAACACTCTACACTATTGCTATTTGAAAATCACACTCTTTTGATAAATAAATGCTGAAACTCTCCTACGGCGTCCTGCGTGTTTCACTTTCACTCTGGCGGAGTTTGCATTTGAATAATGGCGTGTTAACGGGAGGCAGACATGCAAACGCTCACTACGATTCAGAGGGAAGACAAAGAGGCGGCGGGTTGAAAGTGTTTCCTGTTATTCACGACTCCTATCGAAGGAAACGCGTCTTTGTTACTCTGGTAAACCATCAGACTAGAAACACAGAGGTCGGGCTCACTGTGACGTCATTAATGCTCTTTGTAGTTTAACAGATTGTTATTAAATGTAGGATTGTTCTGGGTACCTAGAAGGCGTTATTTGGGGAAAAAACAAACTCCCACTTATTTTTTCACTTTCTAAAAGTGAGATGCGACTATTGTTTACCACTGTCATGTGGTACAGGCTAACCTAGCTTAGCATAAAGACTGAAAACCTGGGGCATTCTTAGTTTAACACTGAAAGCTACAAATGACGAGCTGCGACTTTTATTGGGGGGGAAAAAAAATCTTATTTTTAAATTTTTATCCACGAACAAAATAAAAAAATATTTTTCTTTTCATGTTGGATATATATGTGTTTCATTTCCAGTCATCCTGTTCATCACAGGAGAAGCTGCACCAGCTGCCCTTCCAGCCGACGCCCGACGAGCTGCACTTCCTCTCCAAGCACTTCTGCACTGAGAGCATCTCCGGGGAGGAGTGCCGCCGGGCGACGGCCATGCGACCCCGCTCGCGCAGCCTCAGGTACCTTTACCCCCCCTCCAACTGCCCCAGGCAGGTGAACGCCCCCCCCCCTCACCAGGTACTGATGGTCGAACTTCTCTTCCAGCCCCGGAAGATCCCCATCGTGTTACGACCACGAGATTATCATGATGAACCACGTCTACAAGGAGCGCTTTCCCAGGGTAACGGGCTCGCCGCCTCTCGACGTCTGGCCGTTCATTCTTCTGAGCGTCACCAAGCTGACTCCTCCCCCCCCCGCCACCCCGCCTTGTCCCTTCCTGCAGGCCACGGCTCAGATGGAGGAAAAGATTCAGGAGATCATCCGCAGCAACTCCCCAGAGAGCGTCCTCCCTCTGGCAGACGGCGTGCTCGGCTTCGCCCACCACCAGATCGTGGAATTAGCCCGCGACTGCCTGGAGAAGAGCCGGCTCGGCCTCGTCACCTCCAGCTACTTCTGCGAGCTCACCGACAAGCTGGAGAGGCTCGTCCAGGAGGTGAGCGCCCCTTTCGGCGACCATCGCGCGGGTTGGTTGTGACTTTGAGTGCTGAGCCAGGACGTTGTGCGTCTTTCCCCGTAGTCCACCGAGCGATCGGAAAGCGAGGAGGTGAACGTCATCAAAGAGCTGGTGAAGAAGATCCTCATCATCATAGCCCGACCCGCTCGCCTGCTGGAATGTCTGGTATGTTTCTGAAAAACGGAGAAGGCTCGCGCGCGGCACCGTCGCCGCCGCCGCCCATCGAGCCGTCGCGCTGCGCGTTGAGACTGACGTTGTTCGCGTGTCTCCAGGAGTTCGACCCGGAAGAGTTTTACCACCTCTTGGAGGCCGCCGAAGGACACGCCAAAGAGGGCCAGGGCATCAAGACGGACATCCCCCGTTACATCATCAGCCAGCTGGGACTCACCAGGGATCCTCTAGAAGGTAAGAGGAGCTGAAGAATAAGAAGAGATGCAGCTTTATTAACCCTGGGAACCGACAGGCATTTTTGTGCCAAAGCAAATATAAGATATACGTTAACATACATGAACAATGAGTATATGGATGAATTCTTAAAGATTTAGTTAAAGCTGAGTTGTCTGTATATTAGAACATAAGCTGCGAAGGAGCGAGGGAACGGGAAGGAAACCTTCTGGACTAATGTCCCGCGCCGAACAGACCGCCTTTCTAACGACCCTCCGTCTCTCCGGATTCGGCTACAAACAACATTCATTAGGACTAATTAGAAAGGAATGGCCTCCCCGCGGATCCAAACAGGCCGCCTCATCAGCCGATCTCCCTCCCCGTCACTCCCCCTCTCCTCCCCCGGGTCTCTTCTCGCTCAGAGCCTCCAGCGCCTGAAGCGGAGCTTACCGGGGAGGCCAGATGTTAAACAGCCGTGGAAATGTGTTGACTGGCTCCCTTGAGGACACAAACGCACGGAAATAAGTGACGGAAAAGCGGCGGCGAGGTGGTTTTGTAACGAGCGCTGGTTTCCGGAGTGGTGACTTTCAAGATGGTCGTTAGACGAGTGTTCGTTACTGATTCCCACGGCATTTATCCTCAGCTGAGATTAACTCGGAGTCAGCACCTCGGACCTGATGGGTCGATAAAGTCTGCGGTTTTTAAGTCCTTATTCCTCCGCGCTTATGTTACCGTTTTGTTTCAAAAACTTTTTGTAGGCCGGCGAAGAAACGTCCAGATGTTTGACACACCAGCAGCTTTTTTCATGCATTCTTTTAACACAACTTCTTTAAATAATAAACTTTCTTTGCAGAAATCGCTCAGCTGACCAGCTGTGACAGCGGCATTGCAGAAACGCCGGAGACGGACGACTCGGTGAGCGCTCAGGAATTGTTTCTCCCGAATCGATCTTCTCCACGGGTGTCTCCGCAACGGAGAACAGATGTTATCTCTTTGTTTGTGTCTCCCGTCAGTCTCAGAGCCTCAGCACGGCGCTGCGCTGCCGGCGTAAACCCTGCGAATTGGACTTTGAGATGACAAAACTCATCAGCAACGGCGCCTACGGGTAAGGACATCTTGATCTCCATCTAATCTCTGATGGTGGATTTGCGCTTGAATCGACCCTTTTTTTCTTTTACCCGTTTTCAGTCCCCCGCCGCGTTTTCCCTTCCGCCTCCTCTAGACGTTTAAACAGATTTCAAACGGATGGGTTCCGTCCCACAGCTGACCCGTGAACCCTTTCGCCCCACAGAGCTGTTTATCTGGTCCGCCACAAGGAGACGAAGCAGCGGTTCGCCATGAAAAAGATCAACAAGCAGAACCTGATTCTGAGGAACCAGATCCAGCAGGCCTTCGTGGAGAGAGACATCCTCACCTTCGCCGAGAACCCGTTCGTGGTGTCCATGTTCTGCTCGTTCGAGACCCGCCGGCACCTGTGCATGGTCATGGAGTACGTGGAAGGTCAGCCGCTGGTCGTCTTTACCTCGCGCACGGCGCTGCGGCCTCCTGTGCGCGTCGGCCTCACTTCTTCTCCGTTGATGCTTGCAGGCGGCGACTGTGCCACCCTGCTGAAGAACATGGGCCCCCTGCCCGTGGACATGGCCCGCATGTACTTTGCAGAGACGGTGCTGGCCCTGGAGTACCTCCACAACTACGGCATCGTCCACCGGGACCTCAAGCCAGACAAGTGAGGGGCCCCCTGGTTGCCGCGGCAACCGTAGTCCGCGGCGGTGGCGTGGAGATCAGATTGAAGGAAGCAAACCTGACTTGTTTTTAATTCAGCTTCACAGCGTGATTTTCATTCTCTGCCATTAGAGCAGAATAAAGTAGAAGATGAACACAAATACCGTAATACAATGAATAAAAAACACTTTGCTTTTTAACTATTTTACTTTTGCACAAACTTTCGTTCTTACGTTTCTGTCTCCTTCCCAGTTTGCTGGTAACGTTGATGGGACACATCAAGCTGACGGATTTCGGGTTGTCCAAAGTGGGGCTGATGAACATGACCACCAACCTGTACGAGGGGCACATCGAGAAAGACGCCAGGGAGTTCTCCGACAAGCAGGTAACGCCCCCCTTCGAAAAACCCATCGGTCCGGCCCCCCGGGGGGCGGGCGAGTGCTCGGGCTCACGGCGCTGTGCCTCGGCAGGTGTGCGGAACCCCGGAGTACATCGCGCCCGAGGTGATCCTGCGGCAGGGCTACGGGAAGCCGGTGGACTGGTGGGCGATGGGCATCATCCTCTACGAGTTCCTGGTGGGCTGCGTGCCGTTTTTCGGAGACACCCCGGAGGAGCTGTTCGGTCAGGTCATCAGCGGTCAGTGGGGCGTCCGGGTTCTTCCGCCGTTGTCGACAACGTGCTCTTTTTGCGTTCGTATTCTTTAGCATGTTTGATTTTGCTCCACGAATCCGTGTTCCAACAGCATTTCCTTCTCGTGCACCTTCACCACATCCACCCAGATGTTTGATGCACAGCACGACATTTCACCCCCGAGGCGTCAATTATTCAAGAGGAAACATTACTTTCCTCTGATCTTTGTATTTAAAGAAGAAAATAAGCTTCACTGATTTATTCATCAGTCAGCGTATAATTTTACTCTACAGATTCTGGCAGGTTTCACAGCATCTGGCCTTTAGATTCCGTTGAGCACAGCAGCGGGAATTCCCAAATCTCACTCGGATATGAATTAAACATTCACACAGTGACCACATGGAATTATTCGGTGTGCATATTTATTGGCGGCAGAGATTTCCGTAGAGAAGCAGATGGCGCGAGGCGGATTCAGCCCGGCTTGAGACCACGAGTGAGCTTTTATTAATTCTGTGTCTCTGTGTCGTCTTCCTGTGGCCCCGTGGTGGAAAAAAATCATAAGCTTTAAAAAAAAAAAACAACAACACACAACAGCTTCTTTCTCGTCTCGGCGGTTTCCCCCGCTGAATTATCGCGGCTGTTTGACAACCGCCTCTGTTGTCACGCGGCAGGCGAGTAAATGCCGTGGCATGACCGCTTTGCCGCGCTCTCAATCAAATGTTCCGAGCCTCCGAGAGTGACAGTTAATTAAAGAGCACACTGAATGCGATGCCACCGTGGCCTCGGGCCGCACATCCATATTCATAGCCCCCCCCCCAACCACCCAAATTTGATTAAAATGGGGACAAATGGTGCACGGAGCAGACAATCAGCGCGGCGCAGGCGGGCTTTGCTCCCCTTTTCATTGCTTATCCACCAGGCTTTTCACCCAAAAGCTGGAGCACATTTAAATCGTCTCATTCAACATAACGCTTACACCTCAGAACTCGCTCGGTTTTGTCTGAATTTGCTGGTGAAGCTTTTTTTTTTTTTTTTTAAACTGCACTTTGTAAATTTGAACCTTTTTAGTGAGTCACAATTGAACATTAAATCAATAGAGTACATTATTACGTATGTGAGGTGACTTCAAAACCTTTTTAGTTCAATTTTATCTTCTTTCTTTATCTCATCAAATGACCAAACCTGTTTCCAGAGTCTGACAAACATTTTCTAGATTTATTTAAAGGCCACAAACGCGTAATTACTGCCTTTTAAAACCGTTTATGTCGAGTTTGGTCGTGATCATTTCATGCAAATGCATCCCCTTGTTCTTTTTTTACTCCTTGTGTTACACTGATGTTTCATAAATACCCAGCGTTCGGTTTTCTCAGCAAAGCCGGATCTTTTCCAACTTTCGCATTGTGTGTTTTCCAGACGAAATCAACTGGCCCGAGGGAGAGGACGCTCCTCCTCCGGACTCCCAGGAGCTCATCGCCTTGCTCCTCCGACAGAACCCTCTGGAGAGGATGGGCGCAGGTAACAAAACGCGACCCCTCCCAATGACCCCGACCAGCAGCGCTCATAATTCACCGGGGGATTAAATTGAGGTCATCCAACAGCAGGGGCAGTTCACCCTGTGGCCTCTTCACCTCTCCCTGTGAATCTAGATCCATGCACGATCAAGCACTAAAGGCCGGCGCATGCGTCTGCGTCGTTGCGTCGACGCACTCGTTTCAATTCATGGTTCTGCGTGTGATCACCTCCAGAACAACAGGCGGAGTGACGTGTTTTTGTTGAAGACGACTTAGAGAGTCACGTCTATTTATTTATTTGTTTATTTATTTATCATAGGCTTTATTGCCCCGTGCGTCGCCGCTGCTGCTTTTCATCGCGGACACATTTGTCCCGTATTTTCCTCCACAACTTTGCGCACCTCTCGAACCGGCAAACCGGCGTTTGCGGCGATCTCCCTCCGTAAATCCAACCCGCTTCTACAACCCGCCAATGACGGCTTGTATAAGGGCTCATATTTACGCATTTCCTCCGACAAAAGTTCTTAAATCTGATCCATTTTCTCGTAAACGTTCTTCGTTTTAATAATGTCGGTATCGGGCTATGAAAGCGGAAATGTGAGACTCCGTAAAGGACGTAGTTAGCAGACCAATCGCAGCCTGGTGCGCTGCGGGAGGCTTGCGTCGAAAGCCTAGAAAAATGTCTCGACACACGGAGGTGTGAAAAGCGACGCAAGGGACACGCAAGGGGGGCTCTGAAAACGCAGAAGCATAAACCAGGCTTAAGAGCGCGCGGATCCACGGGCCGTAAAAGTGTCCGCGACCCGGGACAAAGGCTTTGTATGCGAGGGCCCAACGGAGCCGTTCGGTCCATGTAGACCTCCTGGTTTATCTAGACCCCCCCCATCGGCATACTGCTGTTCACAAAGTCCCCAGTCTATTCCAAGAAAGGTCACAGGCAGGAAATTGTCCCGCATGATTTAGGGTTATTATGTCCAGAAGGGGCCTGAAGGGGAAGAAGGGAAACCGAGCGAAAGCGTCCTCGTCAGCGTATTCCACACAAATCAGTTTCCCGTTTTTGTTTTTTCGAAATTTTGTGTTCAATTTGCGTTCCTTCGATCTGCAGGAGGGGCGGCCGAGGTGAAGCAGCATCAGTTCTTCTACAACCTGGACTGGAACAGCCTGCTGAGGCAGAAGGCCGAGTTCATCCCTCAGCTGGAGTCGGAGGATGACACCAGCTACTTCGACAGTGAGTTACCGTCGCTGACTTTACTGTGACCACAGAGCATCATTAGATATGAAGTTGCAGCCTGGTAACCGTTACTAGACTCGCCAGCGTGCACACACACATCTCTCAAGATAAACTGTCATGAATCAAACGACAAAAAATCGTTGCAGGCCATCGACATCCCTTCTTCTCTGAATACTTAAATCTAAAATACATAAAGGGCTTTTGCACCATCTGTTTATCAATCATATATCTTTCCAAATGCTTAAAAAAATCTGATTTATGGCACTTTTTTTAGTACAAATACCATAATAAACCGTGATAAAACTTTATATAGCTTTAAATGAATGGAGTGAAAACCGATTGGGATCCATTTTCTTCCTCTTCTTAAATCACCTTGTGACCCTTAAAATAAAAGTAGTAAAAACTCCATCTGAACCCTAAACCTCCCATCACCCCCCAGCTCGCTCCGAGAGGTACCACCACCTGGAGACGGAGGAAGAGGACACAAACGACGAAGACTTCAACGTGGAGCTGCGGCAGTTCTCCTCTTGTTCTCACAGATTCTCCAAGGTGCGTCCTTTTTAGTTTCCTCCGCTCACACAAACGCCCCGTGGTTGCCGCCCGAAGACGTTAGTCATGCAAACGAGTTGCTGCCCTCATCAGTCCTGCTCCTCTTTTTTTTTTTTTTTTTTACCTCATGGGAGGGAAAGCATGAGCTGAGCGCTGTTTCATATGGAAATGTGAGTCTAGAAAACACACCCGACAGTATTAAAACGTAGATGTCGGCTTTGCATATATTTTCCGCTTTTTTTTTTTTTTCTTCTTCAACACAATGCGGTCGTGCAAGCTGGGAGCGATTGTTGTGCTGCATTGCAGTGTGCTCCCCTCTCGGCATCAAAACAAAGCATTACAGTGTCTCCAAAAGCGGCGTCTGAGAGGAAGCGTTGGGCTGCACAGAGTCTCTTCTGCTGCACCTAAAAGCGCCGCGCGTAAGACGCCATGACGCGAGCCGCAGCCGCCCGGGTTTTTCTGGTCAGCTCTTCGTTGTAAATGTGTGAAACCTGATTCGTTCGGTGCCTGTGAAGGAGACCGGAGGAATCGATTCTTGGCGGTGGTGGTTTTTGGTAGTGAAGTGAGCCGTTGCCTCTGTGTGGTTCGGCAGGTCTACAGCAGCCTGGATTTGTCCCGTGGGCTCCTGGAGGAGAAGGGGGAGGCCGAGGGGAAGAAGAGCGAGAGCCCGCTGACGGTCGACTCCCTCAGCTGGACGCCGGACTTTGCTGAAATGTACGCCTCGAACTCCGGCCCATTAAACCCCAACACACAGTATCAGAAATATAATCCTCTTTTCATTCGTGCCCACTGCAGATTATTTACATTGCGGTTCAACTTGAAGTGATTTGAAGTGGTTTGATGGAGTCTGGACACACAGAATCTAAGGAATGCGCTGCCGAAAATATTTAGCAATTGGCGTCCGACCTCCAGCGGTCTCACCGTCCCTCTTCCTCCGCCAGGCCCTCGCCCTCCCACTCGACGGACGCAGGCGGAAGCAATCGGGGCCCTCGGCCCAACGTGCTGCCAAAGTTCGCCATCTCGGCAGAGAGCGAAGGAGACGAGACGTCCGGCCTCGGGGACCCCAGCGGGACCTCCTTCTCCACGGGGGAGCTCCCGCAGGACGAGCCTGACGACACGACCCCCGGCAGCACGCACAGCGGAGCCACGCTCTCTGGTGGGAAATTCAAAGCGTGCTAACTGTAATAAACTGTGGCTTTATTGCATTTCATTACAATTTGTAAGCTCAGCTGTGTGCCTCACTCCACGCTCATCTGTTCCGACACTCAGGGAGTTTCTCTGAACATCTGGACCAGTTGACACCCAGGGGTGACGAGCTGGAGAGCCCCGACGGCGCCGGCCGGGCCGCTCACCCCGGCGCTCTGCGGCCCGACGGCGCGGCACAGAGGGCCGGAGCCGCGGCCAAAGTCCCCAAATCCGTGTCAACCGGCGGCCTGTCACTCATGATCCCCGGCGGTGAGAAAAAACGCACGCGGTACACGACGCACGACCTCGGCGGGTCCTTAGAAGTGGATGCAGGGATGGACCGCCTCTCTGCAGAAACACCTCCCTGCCGACTGCAGGTTCGATCTCGTGCACCTGCTCAGGTGGTGATCGGCTCCTGTTGTTTTTCTCAGATGCGTTCGGGGCGTCTCCGCTGGCCAGCCCGCTCTCCCCCTACTCCCTCTCCTCGGACCCGTCCTCGAGGGACTCCTCCCCGAGCAGAGACTCCTCCCTCTGCAACGCCGTCCCGCGGCAGCCCGTCGTCATCCACAGCTCGGGGAAGAAGTTCGGCTTCACGCTGAGGGCCATCCGGGTGTACTCCTGCGACGGGGACGTCTACACCGTCTACCACATGGTCTGGGTAAGCGATCCGCCACAGGTCTGCAGGCTGTGGGGGTTTAGTTCGGTTCATCTGGACCCGTGTCAAAGCTTCCAAAGGGACTCGGTTGTTTGTCTAGTGAAAGCAAACTATACGATGTTTGCATGAATTAAAAAGTTTGCTCCGTCTCTTCATGAAGTAACCGTGCCTGTGATACATCACCAGAGAAGATAAATATACATATGAGACAAGGGCTGTTTGTCAACGTACCTCATTCCTGCAGCACTTTGTGTCCCGAACTTTTGCTCGTTCGCTCGTGATCGACAGACCTTTTTTAAACTTCCTGAAAAAGCAAAATAGATGCTAATGTAAAATGCGTCCTGTGTGTCCGTCAATCAGAATGTGGAGGACGGCGGGCCTGCCCATAAGGCAGGACTGAAAGCTGGAGACCTGATCACTCACGTGAACGGAGAACCGGTGCACGGTCTGGTCCACACGGAGGTGGTGGAGCTCCTGCTGAAGGTAAACCACGACATACGCTTGTTCTTAAACCGAATCCCATAACAAATGTCTTCTGACGTCCTGCCTTCGTGTGCTTTCAGAGCGGTAGCAAAGTGGCCATCTCCACAACGCCGTTCGAAAACACTTCGATAAAAATGGGTCCGGCCAGAAGGAACAGCTACCGGAGCAAGATGGTGAGATGTGCCAAAAAGCCCAAGAAGGAGAAGACCCCAGAAAGGTGCGACGCGAAATGTTTTCTTTTTCCAAATTGCATCCAGAAGGTTTGGTTTAAATCTTCCATGTCGAGACCTTCTTGACTGATCTCCTCTCCTTCGTCTCCCAGGCGCCGCTCCCTCTTCAGACGCTTCGCCATGCAGCCGTCTCCTCTCCTGCACACCAGCCGCAGTTTCTCCTCCCTCAACCACTCTCTGTCATCTGGTGAGAGTCTCCCCGGCGTCCCCCCCACCCACAGTCTCTCCCCCCGATCCCCTCCCGCCGCCCTCCGCCACACACCAGAACTCACCCAGTCAGGTGGAGATGTCGTCTGAGAAATCGTGCTGTTTATACGTGTTTCATACGTGTTAAATGAGTTGTTGTTTTTTAACTCCCAGGTGGCAACTCGTCCCAGAGCAGCTCCCCCAGCTCCAGCGCTCCGAACTCCCCCGCCGGCTCGGGCCACATCCGTCCCAGCACCCTCCACGGCCTCGGCCCCAAGCTGCCGGGTCAACGGCTCCGACAGGGGCGCCGCAAGTCCGCCGGCAGTATCCCCCTTTCCCCATTGGCTCGCACGCCGTCGCCCACCCCGCAGCCGACGTCTCCTCAGCGCTCCCCCTCTCCCCTCTTCGGCGCCCATCCCATTTCCAAGACCAGCCAGGCCTTCCCGGCCAAGATACATTCCCCGCCCACCATCGCGCGCCACATCGCGCGCCCCAAAAGCGCCGAGCCCCCCCGCTCGCCTCTCCTGAAGCGCGTCCAGTCCGAGGAGAAGCTGTCGCCATCTTACGCGGGCGAGAAGAAGCACCTGTGTCCCAGGAAGCACAGCCTGGAGGTGACCCAAGAGGAGGCGCAGGATGAGGAGCCGGGACGCGGGGAGCGGGATCACGCCGTCCTGCAGAGCGTGGAGGAAACGGGCCACCGCGTCCGACCCGTCGAGCAGGGCTGCTTGAAGAGGCCCCCCGGTCGCAAGCTGGGCCGCCAGGAGTCCGCCGAGGAGCTCGACCGCGAGAAGCTCAAGTCCAAGATGGTCGCAAAGCGCCAGGACTGGTCGGAGAGGAGGGAGTCTCTTCAGAAGCAAGACGCCCTGCGCGAGGCCGAGTCGGCGTGTGGCGACGACCGGGAGGACGGCTTCCTCCTCCTCCTCCTCCTCCTCCGCGGCCCGGACGCCGGCCCCCCCGAGGGCCGAGCTGCAAGCGCGACCCTCAAAGACGTGCTGCATAAGAAGCTCGGCACTCGGGCGCCCGACGGCGAGTCGCCCGCCGCCGGCCCCGAGAGCGACGCGGCACTCCGGTCGGCCCTCTGCGCCGCTCACTGCAGGACGGCCAGGGACAACGTGAAGCCCGACAGACTGGACTTCAAAGCCCCCAACGTCGAGTTCACCAGGAAGCGGCTGTCTTTCGAAGAGCGAGAAGACTGCATGTGCCGGTTGTCCCCCGGCGTGCACGAGAACCCGCACTTTGGCTCCACCAGGTCCAAGAGCCTGCAGCTGGACACGGCCGCGGCTCACGAGCACATGAAGGCGGGGCTCGCCAGCGTTCACTCCAGCCCCGAGGGTTTGTCCCCGAAGCTCTTCTCGGGCAGAGGCGAGAGCGCCGTGGAGAAACTCCAGCTCATCTCCTCCGCCGAGTCTGCGCTCCGGAAGACGTCGTCGGAGTATAAACCTGAAGGACGCCACGTGTCCTCGCTCAGACCCCTGGAGGGCACTCTGGACATCGGCCTGCTCTCGGGGCCCAGAGTTTCTAAAACGGAAACCTGCTTATCCAAAATGGCGGAGAATCCGAGCGACAACGTTTCTCCGAGTCCTCCGATTTGGCTCCAGACGTCTGCCGAGAAACAAATGATGAAAACCGCAGACGCGCTAAAGAGCCCCTCGACTTCCTGCGCGAGCCCTGAAGCCGTTTCTTCTCTAAATGGCATTTTTGCCTCCAAAGGTCAATCGAGTGACACAGAGGTTAAAAACGGCAAAGCACAAGACGGACACGGCGAGTCGCTGAAGGCTCAAAGCGGCAAAGCGGAGGCGTCGAGCGGAGGCCTCAAACCGCCTGTGAAGTCCGGCTCCCCGCTGGCTCACGACCACCGGGGCCCCCGACACGGCTGCCACTTCTCCTCCTGCGGGAAAACGCCCTCCATACGGGAAGTCAGCAACGAGGATCAGGAGGAGGAAGCGGAGCCGGGCGGGAAAACCCGGGAGGCTCCGGCCGCGGCGGCGCCCAGCGAACCGCGAGCCGCGCCGCCGCCGCCGAGGCACAGCGCGGGGAACGCGCCTCCTGCGCGAAGCTCTTCGCCCGTTCCTGAGAACGCCCCTTCGTCCCAGAAACCGCCGGTTTCTCTCGCAACACCGGCGTCTGGTTCTGTGGAAGAAGGTAAAAGCAGTTTGAATCGGGACCGGCGGGAGAGATCCGCCGCCGTCGGGTCGGCGGTGAAAGCAGTCGCTGGCGGCGGCTCGAAGGAGGAGGTCAACGCGCGTGTTGCTGTCCTGAAAGTGCAGCAGCAGAGAGGCGCTTCTGAAGCAAACATGGTCGCCTCTTTGAATAACGGGACGCTGAGGGAGAAGGACGACGGCGTTGGCGAGGAAGAGGAACCGACGGAGACGAAAAAGATCGTCGCTGCGAGAATCCATCCAGCCGAAAAAGCCCGAAACAAACCCTCTGGTGCAGAAGAAATCGCCAGCGTGAAGGAGAGCGCCGCAAAACCCAAGTGCCCGCCCCCGGCCGCCGCCAAGGAAGACGCTCAGCTGGCCAAAAGTAAGTGCAGGCCCGACCCGCGGCCCGCGGCACCCGCCGCCACGAAGACGCACACAAAATCGCCGGAAGTGAAGTCTCGCGGCGCGGCTCCTCCCGGCCCCCCAGCCGGGGGCAGTCCCAACGCCAAGCAGAGAGAAGCCCCCGCTCAAACGACCCCGGACGCCTCCGTTCAGCCGCCGCATTCCCCGAGAGAAGCCCCGCCCAGAGGCTCCGCGCCGCCGCCCAAACCGCCGCCCCCCGCCAAGGCCGCCCCTCCCTCGCCGGCTGGGAAGACCTCACCAGCTGGTAAACAATGCCTCGATCCCAAACACAAGGAGCCGTCCCCCAAGACCACAGCGCCCGCCGGGAGAAACCACCACGGCCCGAGACCAAAAGATGTCGCCGCGGACGCCCCCTCCCCCCAGCCCGACGCGGCGAGGAAAGAACCGCCGAGCGGTGAGGCCGCCCCGGGCCGGGCCCCTGGCGCTGCGTTCAGAGCGACCAAGGAGGGCCCCAAGGCCGAAACGGCCAAACCCGACGGTCGCGGTGGGGGGGCGCCACCGCCGCCGCCGCCCCCTCCCCCGGACAAACAGGTGGCGTCCTCCGGCAAGAGGGAGCCGGAGAGGAAGAAAAAAGAGGCCGTTCAAGAGGGCGCGCCCGCGCAGAAAAACACTAAAAGAGACGCGACCAGAGCCGCCGCCGCCGAGCGGGACGCCGGCAGGAAGCAGCAGAAAGAGTCGCCGCGTAGTTCCTGCCATAAAAAATAAAGGGGGGGGGCGGGTTTGTGGAAGCAGCATCACGCCTTCTTGATTTCGGGGAGCGGGGGCGAGCTGTTGCATGCTGGTTGGAGACGTGCGCGCTTACGTCCGAATGTAGGAAGTCGTTTGCTGATCATTTCTGGTGTTTTTTTTTTTTACTTTTCACGTCAGGTTGGTTTTTGTTTCTGCTTCGTGCAATCAGCGTGTCAGCGCGCGTGAGGAGGGGGCGGGGCCGGGGCTCGCTAGGCTCCGCCCCTTGGCCGTACAGTCCGTGCCATATTAAAGCGGCTTGATTGCACTCTCACTTGGAACACAGGAGGAACCTGCAGGGGGCCTCGTGGTTCCGTGGGATTCTCTTGTCGACGCACCGAGGGAATAAAAACACGCCCGACTTTCCCCCCGAAAACTAAAAATAGGGAAATCATCTCACAGTTCTGGGAAATCCTAAATCAGTGAAGGGGCCTTAGAATTATGGGAAATTAAAAAAAAAACTTGCTGTTCCGAGCAAGCTGTGGTGTTCATTTACATTCCTCTGACATGTGTACATATATTTTGGGGATTTTTATGCAATATGGTGTAAATATGAGAACATTGTTAAACTGGGACTCACGTGATTGTCGTTTGTACTAAAGGTGTAGATCAATATTATGAGCTCGGTATTTTTGTGGTTTAAAGTGAGCTCCCATGATGCATTTCATCGGAGGCCTCCTGTTTTTTGTGACTTTCCACACGGGGGGTGGTAGGGGGGGGGGGGGTCGGGGGCAAATGGACTGTTTCTGAAAATGTAGCATTAATCAACAAAACTGTGAGGGCCGTTCGCCCCCCCCACCCCCCCCAGGAAAGTCTATCCGGTATCACTGCAGTCGGTAAGCACAGAGGGGGCTTCAGAAGATTTCTCGGGGGGGGTTTCGGGTCTTCGTGCTGGTCGAGTGTTTTTGGTGTCTCAGAGGAATCAAAGATTTCACACGCACTCAATGTTAAACTCTTGGTACTAATGTAGGCTGTCATGTATCTGCATTCACTTTCTGCTAAATCACACACACACATTCATCCTGTAGATGAATAAGAAGCCCTGAAGGAGGAGGAGACACGGAGTGTGTCATGCAGTATTCGCTCTGTTGTGTTAAAACGACCACGTGTACTCTCATCGCGACCGGCCCAACGTGACGGAGTCTGAAGTTTATCTTCACGAGATTTTAACGATGAAAAGGATCTTTGCATTAGATATTTTGTTGCTGCGTCGCTAATGTAGTGTGTGTGAGAACAAATGCACCTTAATGTTTGCCCGGTATTCGGTTGGGGAGGGCGAGGAGAAGGAAGCGGAACTGAAATGATTCATGAATTCCCGTCTCGTCTGTCAGATTTAAACGAGTTCCATTTGATGAAATAAAACTTTTTTTTTTTTTTCCTCCGGTGACGACTGACATTTAAAATCAGCAAAGCACATTCAATGTTTGTTTACAAAGCATCATGGATGTATATTTTGTGTATCGTTATTTGCCAAATCTGTGTAGTGTGTCAGAGCTGCTGTTCATGGCGTAAGAACACGTGTTCGTGCTGTGATCGATGTCACACCTTCTTTCTCTGCTCGACTTTTTAGTTCCCTTTTTTTTTTTCTTCCTCCGTGCAAAACTAGTATTAGATGAACTCGCTCTCGATGGTTTGTCTTTTAGAACATGTGCAATAAAAGTGTTTTGAGTTTTGTATTTTGCCCAAGGAAAGCTCTATGGGTGTCATAGATGTTGTATATTAAAACAGATATTTATACTTCTAATGTTGCGTAACACTGAAAATAAAATGGAACTATGAGCTAATCTTTTCCGTCCCCTTTTGATATGTTCGTAGATCAGATTGAATCAATGAATTACTGCGCATAGCTGAATGGTAACACTTTATTTTACGGCCGCACAAAAGAATTTAACCAAAGTAACAAAAAAATAAATAAAAATAATTTAAAGGTATTGAACTAAAAGATTTAGACAATACGCTTCCAATTCATCCAACCCAGTATCTGATAATTAAAAAAATGAATAGATTAAACATTTTAATATTCATATTGTAAATTCAGATTTTGCCTGAAATTCGCACTGAAATGATTAAATAACCCTAAATGTATAAAACGTGGTGTCCCTCGGGACAACCATTGTCTCCCGTCTTCATAGACGTCCACTTCATGGACGCCCCAGAGAGCCACCAGAGGACGTCTTCGAAGCTGTACTTATTGATTCCAATGCACACGTTGCCTTGACCTCCAGCCTGCTGCTGCAGCGGTGCACCGGCAGGGGGCGCCGTCGTTGCTCAAACGTCCTCGGTGAAGCAACATTCTGCAGAGGCACAAATCCTCCCAAGATCTGAGCATTGGATCAACAGGTCGTCGTCCACGCTCCTTTTCAGTAACGTGGTCATGATGCGTCACAGGCGCATTTCTGATGAATGCACACGAGTCCCTGTTGTTAAATAACTCGTTTAAAAAATGCGATTATGCCGTAAATGACGCAGATGGATCAGTGTCCGCAGGCTGATTACGAAGCACAAATATCGAACGAAGGGCTCAACGGGAAAAGAAAAGCCTCTTAGCGTTTGGGAGTAAAGCGCGAGGAGAAGGTCTCACCGGGCCGCCGGCGGGGGGGAACGTTTCTGTGACTGATTCGGTCCCGTTGACCCTCCGGACCTTTTGATTTCATGTAATGCAACAAATGTTGCGACGGGCGGAGATGAGCGGGATTGAGAGGATAACGCAACGTGCCGTCTGTGAGTGGAGGGCGGCCTGTTTGGAATCCAATTTAACAAAAGACCGATCGATCACGTGACCAACGGCGTGCGTCGGCGTCGATGGGGTGCGCGCGTGCACGCACGCGCCCTATTGATGCGTGTGCGTGTTGCACAGTGCACGAGGGAGCAGCCGAGGAGAAACCCAACAAAGGGTTTGTGTGTTTTGGCTCAACGTGCTAATATTTGCCAACTGGTACGGAACACAATGTACAGACGGGAGTCCGGTTGCCTTCTCAGATATTCGGTTGATGGACACATTGGAGATTTTGACCCGGTGCTCGTGTTGGATGAAGTTAATGCAGTTCACCCTCTGGGGAACAAGAACGTTTGCACGGAATTTTTAAGACAATCAAATGTTCAGAAATGATACAGCTTACACTGCAATGGACTAAAGGTGTGATGTGATCCTCGAAGTTCACAGGATTCATCCTCTGGGTACCAAACCATTTATAAATGTGTTTTGTCAAAATATTTCATAGAGAAGAAGACATTATCAAATATTAGGTCGAATTTCTTTTGATAGCTAAATATAGATTATTTATTAATTAAATAAAGAATTATCTTTATTAAATTTGTGAAAAAAAGGCTAAATATGTTTTGAAGAATGTAAAGGAAAAAAATATATACACATATATTTACATATTTCTCAACCTAATATATTTATATATTTGTTGTTAGGTCAAAATATTTTATGGAAAAGTCCGCATAACGTCTAGGTGGCGCTAGAGGAACAGATGGCCACAAGGGATCATCCTCCGAATACCATGAATGTTTGGAACAAACATCAAAGTGGCTTTGGAGAAAACTAACGACAGTCATTAAAACATATTTCATTGCGTTACTATTTTGACGCGCTGGTGACACTGTGGGGACAGAAGGGATCAATTATTAAGTCATCTAAATGAATCTGAGACTTTAAGATTTCTGGTTTAGAAATGAAGTTCAAGTACTATTTTGTCATGTTGATGGCACTGTAACAGAAAAAGGGCCAAAGGAACCTCGACTCTTCCCCTGCCTGCTGGGGATTGGTCGGCCGAATTTCAGAAATATGAGATCTTGTATTTAATCCCGGCGCGGAGAGGCGGGTGAACCATGTGGACGGTATGTTCTGTTTAGCCTTGGTACAATCCCTCAAAACATCCACTCTCCTCCTCCCAGGCGTCTTCAAAGACTTTTGTGGTCATTTAGAACACCGCGGACGACAAATGAACCTCATAAAGAAGCGGGGAAGGCGTCGAAAACGCTTCTTCCTGTAGACTCACGCCATCTGAAACGCGGCCACACGAATCCACTCTGGCCTCCATTAGCTGTCGGTGCTGGAATTTGCCCGAGTACATTCTGTGACTTGGGGGGAGGCCAACGCGTCCAGCCCAGCGCTCATATCTCGTGTTGCAACTAATGGCTCCTAGCCGAGCGTTGGCCCTCGGCCGGGCCGGGGGCGGCGGGGAGGGAGGGGGGGACGCGGGAGGGGAGGCGGGCTCCTCGTGTAGGCCAAGGTTCAACCTGCTGGTTAAACTCGCTGCGGCTTTCGCTCCTCTGAACTCTCGCTTCTGCTTTTTCCGCGACGCGTCCTGGCGAGAGCGCTTTCGCCGAGTGGGTGAAGACTCCCAGGACCAGTCGGCCACGTGGCAAAGGTTCCTCCCGCACGGATTATGCAACGTAAACACCTGGGAGAGATTGTGTGTGTGAGTGTGTGTGTGAGAGAAACACAAATATGAGATCATGAAAAAGTCACAGTGGAATGAGAGGATGAGGATATCGTGTACGTGGAGAACAGCGCCGCGTCATCAAGGTCGCTGCACGCGGTGGCTTTATGCTCACTGAACGTGCTCCTGGTCGAATTACGGGTGCAAAAACTTGTCTTTTCTGCAAGGCACTCGAGCTCCCGAGTAACACTTCCACACGTTAGGTCTTTTTATTGCTGATCCCAAAGGCTCACAACTTAAAGCAACACGCATATTTAGCATTTCACACATCACTCCCGATGTGGTGTGAAAGGACCAGGATACAGAAGATTGGAACATCAGCTGGTTCATATTGTGTAAACTTTGTCTCTTGCGATGCAGGACGTCCCCGTTGGAGCTGGAGAGAAGAGACACGCGGACGTTTTGAATGTTGACTTCCCTTGTAAACACTCTTCATCATCGGGAGGAGGACGAGTGGCTTTGGTTGGAGAGGAGGAGGGGAAGACGGCCCCCCCTCCCTCCCCCCTCCTGGTCAAACACAGGGCAAAGGCCCGGGCTCAGCGGAGTGACCTGACCCCGGTGTGGCTCCACAGCGGCATTAACGGGCCTCTGAGAGGGGTTTAATCCGCCGGGCTTAGCACAGATCCGGCTCGGATTCTCCACCTCGGGGAAAACCGGGGACTGGAGCCCGAACCCGCCTGAGGGGGGTGGGGGGGGAGCTGTTATAGGTGTGTTATAAAAGGAGGACATGTATGTTTTATGCTCAGCGTTACTCCCATCGATGATGATCTTTAGTATTTGTAAAGTACAGTTTACTTCCTCCGCAGTCTAAAATATCACAACAACAAAACTGCTACGACTGCAACGCACTATTTTGATTGACCACGACTGCGGAAACTATTCTGTCCAATAATTGATTTCTCTTTCACCACTTTGATTCCATTGAAATGCATTTTAGCTTTCCCCGTCACGCATCGTTCTAAAACAGTAACCTGAATTAGACTCTGACCCCCCAGCGAGCGTTGGACTCTAGGTACATAAGAGGACGCTGCAGCTGAACTGATTCCCTCGCCGGTCTGTGAAGGGACGGAAAGGTAAGTTCTAAAAATGGGTGAGATAAATAAAGTATAAAGAAAAGAGGAAGAAAAAGGATCTTAACTGCATGCTTGCAACCTCCTCTAGGACCTGCTGTTTGAAGGGGGGGGGGGGGGGGGAGTGAGCGTTACATAAACACACAACCCTCACGCACAGCTGGCTGACTTTGCATAAGAGGCCCTGGCACCGACTCCGTGCACGGCATCCGGGTTTGAATCTGCTCGGGTCCAGGCAGCGAGGGGGGGGGGGGATAAACATACGTGGAGGATTGAGGTTGTCCCAGATAACCGCAGAGTCCCGAGAGACGTTTCGTCCCGAATGATTTCCCAAAAGCAAAACGTATCACGGGGTCGTCCAAAGGTTTCGTGCTGGTTCGTAATACGAGTCCGCCTCGAACGAGAACACAACTGGTGCGACTTGCTGCAGCGCTCTGCTGCGCGACTTCATTTTAACGTGTGCGTTTGACTCATTCATGTCTTTTACTTTTTGAAAGGCTCTTTTTTTTGAGAGGAAGTCGCCGTCTCTGTAAGCGAACACGGTGGTGACCTGATCCACGTTGCTGTTTTACTTTGAAGGACCACGCCGCTTCCTGTGTTTACCAGCCGCGCTTGAGCTCCGCAGGTGCTACGTCACGACACAGATGCCACCATGTAAAGCTGCACTGTGTGTTCTGTTCGCCACCATGTCGCCCACACAAGACGGCAGAAGACGGCAGTCAATCACACGGAACAGAAACGATAACCAAACCCCCCCCCCGAGACGAGTCAGATGGTTCCATCCAGAGGTGGTGGAGACCAAAACCGGAGATAAAAGAGTGAATTCCGGACTAAGTCCACCACGTTGACCTCAGAGCGGATCGTTTGTCATTAATGTCTTCGCCAATGTCTGTTTCAGCTCTAGGGAGTTTTGAGGAAACATTCAGAATTTTCACCCTTCATTCAATGTTCAGTGTTTACAGCCGCTCTCGTGCTAATTTCTGCTCGTACTGCTGGAGAGATTAAATAAACGCAGCTTTTGCGTGTGAACAAGAGAATTCCCTGTAATGGGGAAATAAGTGCTGGTTTCCCAGAAGCACTTACCTTGCCTCAAATTCGAGGTGAGGTCACGAACCAACAAGCGCAGCCTCGCACTGATTAACAGCTAATGCACTTAGCGCGGTAAGCGGCGTAAAGCGCTCCGCGGTAAAAATGGAACGGACTGGCTTTGTCCCACACAGCCTGCCAACGCGTGGACGGTCACAGGGACACGTAGGTCGAACCTCC